AACATACTCAGTACAACCAGTTACAACATTGACATCCACAGTACAACCAGTAACCATAGTAACATACACAGTGCGACCAGTGACCATAGAAACATACAAAGTACAACCAGTGACAACAGTAACAAACTTGGTACAGCCCGTGGCCACAGTAACATACTCAGTACAACCAGTAAACACAGGAACATAATACTTACAAGTGACCCCAGTAACACAATCAGTACAACCAGTGACCAGAGTAACATACATAGCACAACCAGTGAACAAAGTAACATACACAATACAACCAGACCACAGTATCATACATGTACATAATACAAACCAGTGACGAGAGTAACTTCCTCCATACAACCAGTGACCACAGTAACATACTATTTACTTACATCAGGTGACCATAGTAACATACTCAGTAGAATAGTAACCACAGAGCATACTCAGTACAACCAGTGACCATGGTAACATACTTGGTACAACCAGTGACCACAGAAGTATATTCAGTACAACCAGTGGCCAAAGAAACATGCTCAGTACAACCAGTGACCACAGTAACATACTCGGTACAACCAGTGATGACAGAGCATACTCAGTACAACCAGTGGACACAACAACATACTCAGTACAACCAGTGGCCACAGTAACATACTCAGTACAACCACTGCCACAGTAACATACTCAGTAAAACCAGTTACAACATTGACACACACAATGCAACCAGTAACCATAGTAACATACAAAGTACAACCAGTGATCATAGTAACATACTCAGTGCAACCAGTAATCATAGTAACATACTCAGTATAACCAGTGACCACAGTTACTCACTCAGTACAACCAGTAACCACAGAAACATAATACTTACAACCAGTGGCCCCAGTAACACACTCAGTACAACCAGTGACCACAGTAACATACATAGTACAACCAGTGACCACATTAACATACATAGTACAACCAGTGACCACAGTAACATACTCAGTACAACCAGTGGCCCCAGTAACACACTTGGTACAACCAGTGACCACAGTAACATACATAGTACAACCAGTGGCCCCAGTAACACACTCAGTACAACCAGTGGCCCCAGTAACACACTCAGTACAACTAGTGGCCCCAGTAACACACTCAGTACAACCAGTGGCCCCAGTAACACATTCAGTACAACCAGTGACCACAGTAACATACATAGTACAACCAGTGACCATAGTAACATACTCTGTTCAACCAGCGACCACAGTTAACATACTCAATACAACAAGTGACCACAGTAACAAACACAGTAGAACAAGTGGCCATAGTAACATACTCAGTACAACTAATGGCCATAGTAACCTACTCAGTACAACCAGTGACCACAACCAGTGACCACAGTGACATACTCAATACAACCAGTAATCATAATAACATGCTCAGTACAACCATTGATCAGAGGTATTACTCAGAGATATTAAATTAGTGACAATAGAAGCATACAAAGTTCTGTCAGTGCACAAAATAAAATATTCCTTATAACCAGTGGGAATTCAGAATGGCCTACATCAACTGGGCGACACTCACTGTTTGAAGATTGCTGCACAATGCATCATAGTTACACAGCTCCAAAACTCATTGTACGATGCTCACCATTCGTTGGCTTTTCTCCGAAGAAGGCTGACCCCATCATAGGCTTTCATAGCATTTAACAATTTTTCATTGATTGATTGATATTTACAAAGGAGCAGGTAGGTTATCGCAAACAATTTCAAATGATCATAACTTAAATTATGAATATTTTCTGATCATGAACACAGGTGTATCTTTTAGACCCATTCATTATCTCCAAGAAAAGTAATGAATTAAATGAACCAAACATGATATTAAAGGGACAATGGACTATACTTTTTCAAAAATGTTAACCTAATTTTCACTAAAATGCAACCTTATATTATAATGTTGAATGCATAATTAGAATGTGCTTTGAAACATTTTTTCTTTCCTGAAAGGGAAAGTGGATTCCCCCAGGGAGTTATAGATATTGAATTTGGATGACCAAAATGAGCTGAAACCAATGGATAGCATGAGATTTTTCAATGGGGAACATGTTGTACTAATCTAAAAGGATTTCAGTTTTCCTTTCAAGAACTAATTGATTCATCAAAATAGAGAATATGCATTAAACAATCCATGTACATTAAAAATGATTGCTTTTTTGGTGAAAATGAGGTCAACATCTTTGAAAAAGTATGTTGATGGGACGATTGACAGTTTAAAAAATATCTGATTCTGATTGACTTTACTATCATTGTATATACTTTTCTTTGAGGCAATGAATGGAACTAAAAGATATACAGGTCTGTCTTCATAGTCAGAAAATAGTCATAATCCCAAGATTTAATCGACAATCATCTGAAATTGTTTGTTACATGAACCTTTTCAAGAACTCTCATGTGACGTAAATATGCCTACTATAAATACCCATGAACGTCAATTAACTTGCAGTAGAATTTCTAGTAGAATTAATTCCAATCATAAGCTTAGTAATTATAACTTTGGATGTGCTTACAGCATGGTAGTGTATCAAAATTTCAATTTTAGCTATGACAAAATTTGGTGAAAAACTTGGAAAACTACTTTATCTAACTTTAAAACCATGAAATATATACATGTAATAATATTTTTGATGTAAAACAGGAAATCGGGAGAGAAAATGAAACCCTCTCATGCTATTTTCCCCGATGGTGAAAAACCTAATTAATGCCTCCCACCTTCAAATTAATATACTTTTCAAGATGAGAAGTCTATTCCAAATATCACTGCCTTCAACTTGATCTAAACCTAGATATCAAGCTTTTCCTAGTTTTTCACCAAACAGCTAGCTGTCACTGGCCATTTTGCATAGTAACACATTTAAAGGGATAGTATTGTGTATTCTATTGCTTGTAGATTTTAAGGGATTCTGTTAAGGATTAACTGTAATGTCTGTCAAACACACACAACTTTGCTTTACAATAGTATTATATAACAAGTTATATAGGCTATATGGATATTTTAAAAGAAGTACAAATCACAAAAATTCAATTAGGCTGAGATGCAAAATGAGGAAATGACACTCAAGAAACAATTTGCACTTTCCTGCCCACATAGAAACAGTCTTAAGGTCTCTTAATTATGTCCAAGTTGGAGTAGGCTATACATAGTCAAACTGGTCATCGTCATAGCAATGTTATGAAACAGTACACATATATAATGTTAACCTTTATAACCCATACATATTCAGATATATTAGAAATTCTCAAACGCTCTCCATATTCAAATATCAAACTGCAGTACATTAATTAATTGATTAATTTAGTATCATTCAATCATACAGTTACTGTTCATCTACACCCTGTTAATCCAATTGGGTATATAAAAACTGAAAACCTAGAGAATCTAAAATCTTGTGTTTGGTTATAAAAGAGTGGGTATATAAGGGCAAGTGTTTTGTTTTGTTTTGTAATGAGAGTGGATATTAATAGGTCATTAAATATGTTTCATAACTTCTCCCAAATGTTAAACGTATAAAGCACACTTCTTGTATTATTCAACCAACATATGTCATTTTTGAAAGTGCCTTCACACAAACATTTATACTGTCACTGTCAAAAATAAACCAAATGGTATATTATATATGCACACACGTTACCTATCATTCTGTTGTGGGTACATGTGGCATTTCAACCATAGCTATATAGGAAAAATGTGGTATATTTTGGAAGATTTTGAAAGTTTTAGTACAGAACAGAGAATACACTACCAAATATCATTACCATGATCATATCATTATCATTTCCCACACATACATTCACACAGTCATTTGACAATAAAAATAGCTCTTGTAATACAAAATAATGTACCGTTGTTACTTAAGCATCAGATATACATGTTTTAAAAATATTTCCAGCATTTCATAATAACACAACTAGAAAAGAAATGAACACAACTAGGAATAAATGTAACACATCAAATGACACCACACGTTGTATAGTGAGACACAGTGGTAACTAACGTGTTTTATTTTCCACTAGTGTCCCAAATATATTTTTCGTCAACCCTCACTTTTAAGTCCATCATTTTTCAATTTAAATTTTACCTGGTGTGATATGTACAATATTAATGTGAAAATACTTGTCTCAAATTGACATGATTCACATAAATGAAGTGATTTCTATACTGTATTACAGTTGTACAAAAATCAATTGAAATATTAGCATTTGGCTGTTGATTATGTAAAATCAAACATAGTGTGTATTGATAAATCCTATTTTTTAAATTGACGTTTGTTAACTTTCTCTTTAAACTGGGTATCCATAATAGTATAAATAATAATAATAATAAGTTCAAATGTAAAGTAAGTATTAGGATTTATCATACTTTAATGAACCAAATGTAACAATGATAGTGAAACCATGCAATAGCTTTCAAATCTGCTAATTATCAGACCCGTAGCCGGAAGCGGCCGCTCCATCCACTCCCCCTGGCTACTGGTCTGATTATACATGTATAGCCTGTGATTTAAAATATGAATAAGTGAAAACTTTGAAACTGAACATTCTGAAATGTGAACACATTTTGGTTCCAGTTCTGATACAATATTCATTCCCTTGTATCAAATCAATATGAAATATGCTTAGCCATCCTATGAGCATATACTTCAGACAAGTTTTCCCATGGTACATGTATAATCAAAGTATGCTACTTTCTAACTTAATGCATATTGAAAAATAGAGTAATGGATGTGCATAAATTACTAGTATTGAACTGCAAGAAACCTGTCTAATTCAAACAAATAAGATCAAAAAAGTGTTCACATCAAGGTGTTCAGATATACAAGTTTCATTGTACTTTCATTGCATGGAACCACAAAAATACTTCTTATCAGTCATGCTTTGTCTTGAGAATCAACATTTAGTGGAAACAAAGGAATTAGCATGACGTCTCAAGAAGTATTTTGGATAGAATAATCAAATATTGAATTTCATATTAACCTCTTGCTCAATATAAAGCTTCCAGTAGCGCCCACTATTGGGAAATTGTGCAATCAATCGCTCGAACAATGGCCTTGCATCTTCAATCTTTTTATTCTGAAAAAAACATTGAATTTTCTTTGACATTTTGTAAGTCCCATTATTTGATAATAATAATTTCAATACAATTTCTGATAGCAAATGATGAAAAATTGTTGGTTATCATAATTTCAACATGGAAAATATTGAAAATTTCATTAAAAGGGTGATTATGATATATATAATAACAAGCATTTTTCGCCCAATACTGAAACCCCCTGTATTAAATTTTAGGAACAATCAAATTCTCTAAATACATTTCAAAAATATTTGGCATGATACAACATTATAACAAGGTTAGCTCCATAAGATTTTTAATTTTTCACTAAAATGGTGCTATTCCAAATTTCATGTCTACTCTCAACCTCTATACTCATATACCTGTGCATCTCTTATCAGCACACTCCAGGACTCTGTATCATATGGAAATTGTTCCAACCGCTTTTCTGCCTTGTATAACTTATTAGGTATGTAACCAATATCCTAAAAATAAGAGATCATGAAACATTTCATGCTTTGTTTCTTAATTCATGTAAAAAAAACATGTAAAATAGATGAATTATCTAAAGGCCACACTATTCTGTTAGTGCTTATACCAAAAAAATAAGAAAATTGATTCAAAGAACTAATATAGTACAATCACAATATGTTTCTTATTCTAGCAGGCCAATCAGACACATTTTCCAAAGGGGGTGCGGTTTCACTATTTTTACAGTAAGTAGTCATATGACATAAGACATAAAGTGATTTCAAGTTTGTTATGATGCTTAATTTCCATTTTTCTTATGAATCTGACAATAAGTTATGAATCTAATTGTACACTAAATTAATAAAAATTGTACGCCAGGGCTCATATTAACTCCATCCCATACATGTTAAGGACACAAAAAAAATTCAGAGGACACAAAAATTGAAAATATTTCCGTTTTTTGGGCACAGAAATTTTAGGTCAATACTACAGCACTAGTTTTAACATTATGAGTATCAGTTTGATGTTAAGTTTGAACGCTTAAGAACATTGTGAGAGTCAATATGAATTCTTTAAGTTTGAACGCTTAAGAACATTGTGATAGTCAATATGAATTCTTTAAGTTTGAACGCTTAAGAACATTGTGATAGTCAATATGAATTCTTTAAGTTTGAACGCTTAAGAACATTGTGAGAGTCAATATGAATTCTTTAAGTTTGAACGCTTAAGAACATTGTGAGAGTCAATATGAATTCTTTAAGTTTGAACACTTAAGAACATTGTGATAGTCAATATGAATTCTTTAAGTTTGAACGCTTAAGAACATTGTGATAGTCAATATGAATTCTTTAAGTTTGAACGCTTAAGAACATTGTGAGAGTCAGCTTGAACTCGTAAGTTTGAGAGAGTCAGCTTGAACTCAAGTTTGAGAGAGTCAGCTTGAACTCAAGTTTGGGAGAGTCAGCTTGAACTCTTTAAGTTTGATCTCTTAAAATATGTAAGTGTCATTTCTTAACTACATTGTAGTAATAAATGTAACATTGGAAAGATGTTTTACTGACGTATTATTATGTTGATACAAAGCAAATCGGCTGACAAAATGAACAAAAAGGTAGCGTTTCGGTGAAAAATGCTTTTAAAATGAAGTTATCCCTCAAAACAGCCGAGAAAAGAATGTAGAGAAGAATGTTTTAATAAAATGTATAAAAAACAAGAAAATTCAGTAAAATATTCAGAAATTTTTTTCATTGAATTTTCTCGTTTTTTTATACATTTTACATTATTATCTTCTCACCAGTCTTTTCTAGGCACATAAGTGCACTCTTTGTGCAAAACTGGAAGATGTAGACAATGTGGGGAAGGAGTGATTGCTGTTTGAAAAATAACATGTGACTCAATTGAGGAATGCAGCAAAATTCCGAACATGCACCCTGGCCTAAGTCTAATTGAAGTGTTATAATGTTTATTTTTGTGAACTAATGCTTCCTCAAATTGATAATTTTATGCAAAAAATTCACTGCAATTTCCACAGGACGGTAGTCCATCATAACAGACCGACTTCTACTCAGTATGTTGGATACATACTACATGTGTTATAAGTTATAACACATGTACCCCTAGTCTATATCCAATAGACTGAATATCCTGAGAATTCAGTCTTTTGATCATCATGTCTCTCCTGTGGGAAAAAACAGGACATTTTGTACACAAAATTATCAATTTTAGGAAGCTTCACTTCCCAAAAATAAACATTATAACAATTCAATTAACAGATTAAGTAGTACAATTAAATACTATAAAAGTAACACAGCATGTTGTCAAATGGAAATAAAGCTAGGTAAAGAAACAAATGTGCAAATTAATTTATTCCATCTGCCATTTTGAATGGCACTTCCTATATAAACAAATATTTTTCAATCTCAGATTTAAGCATATGTGGACTATAGTCTGAATATTTTCATTCCAAATTTAAAAGAATTTCAGACTAGAGGATATAGTCTACGTGTACCCCCCTTGGAAGTCCCCCAATGTTGACATACACTGAGATGATCTCTGGCTGTCTGGCTACCGCATTGTCATGGTCCCTCTATTATCATCATATTCTTCTATTAATCTATTGCCATCATCCAACTAAGTACATATTTAATGGTGTTTTGAAGTATAACTTCGCTTTCATATTTGTAGCATAGCCAGGATGCAAAGTCAGCACTATCAATGGTATACTCTACTTTAGTAAAGAGAAGTCCGAAAACTAAATGTCCGAATATTTACTGTTGGTGGAAACAGTGGAGTCGGGGCAATCTGCACGAGGTTCAGTTTTTACTTGGATTGGTTTTTCATTAAGGGAAGTACTTCATTCCCATGATTCAAAGTGCTTTTCTGCCATTGGTTCGGTTTAAGTTTGTACAACAAACGAATCCGGGGCAGGTTGACATTATATCATTACATTTGTTTTGGGTACATACTTTTTGTTTTGACACTAAACAAAAATATTTCCGCAATATATGGTGCATTATAGGTAGGAACTGCTGTGAAATAATGAACGTAAGTGACATCTATCTCAAATTAAATGTTCCTGTATTGATTGAGCACGCGTCATGATGACTTGAACCAATCAGATCACTGAGTTTAATGCGCATGCACCATAAACCGAACCAAAATAATGGAATCTTGCGCATTTACTTCAGGTAATTATTACTTTCCTGGGATTTGGGCTAGAGGATATGATTTTACACTGACCGATTGCAACAAGATTTAGCAAGATGATACAGTTGAGAAACATTTTGTGAATAATGAGCACATTTTAACTGTTTTCTACTATCTCCACGTTATTTGAGGTATGGACTTTCATTTTTATGAACATTTGGTATCTTTTGGACCTACGTCACTAAAAAAATAGAGAAATACTTGTGTGGAAACGTCGAATATTCTTAGTTTGAAAAGTAGGGTCAGGGCTCTCACCAGGAAATATTTAGGGTGTGGTGCTAACATCTTCAGAATAACCGTTCAATCGTGATAAATCATATTTATATTATGTTTTATCCTTTTTACATGCTATTATTATATATTCAGTCAAGTTTAGACTGGAAACAGTCATGATTTGCCAATAGGGTGTGGAGGGAGCTAAATAGAGTGTGGTGCTGCGCCACAGTCTAAAAGCCTGGCGAGAGCCCTGAGGGTATCTGTTAATTTTTACCAAAATGGCATGATCGGACTTTCCTTTTTATTTAGATATTATTTCATGAGATGGTGCTGACTTTGCCAGGATGAGGCGCTTGTGAAAATTATTGGAAACATTTTCACCTTGTCTCTTGGCTATGCCACTGCATCAACATAGTCAAGACTAAACAATAATAGTAAACACAGCATATAATTAGGCATGTATGGAGTTTCTCTATTTCGTTTCGTTGAATAGCCTATAGCATAAAATAAAGTTGAAAGATGAGAAAGAAAACATGAGAAAATTAGAACTTACTTCTGTGGGAAGTGAGGTTTGAGCCATAATTTCTGCAAAATGCTGCAACAAATATGTCTAAAATACAGTAACAATGTAGCTTCAATAGCTACTGTATACCACCGAAGAATAAATAACACAAACACAAAGTTTTATTCAAAATAATTCACCTAAAACTAAAGTGAAAATTGTTAATTTCTGCTTCACATTACAACATGGCGGTTTCGGTTATTTCCGGAAAGCGTTCGGGAAATTCCGCTTTCATACTGCAGGGAAATTGCGACCGCTTTAAATAACACGTTTGTAAAATTGACAGTCTATAATCGACCCTTGGAATAACAATCGCAAAGAAAAAGACGAAATTATTTTATCAAAAGACTTTTACATGTTTAGAGTCTTAGCCAAGGCCTGTTTTATGACTAATTTTGTTGAATTACTGACATTAAACTATTGACTATTTCAAAATTCTGCCAAAAGTTTTAATTTATTAATCCGTGTAGTCGTGCACACTCCCATGCCACTTGCAACGTGACTGCTGTTTGGTAACGTGACTACTTTGGCCAATCAAAGGGCTAGAATTTTCAAGTCACGTTGAAAACCATGCAGAGAAAACACAGACTAATCACTGTAATGTTTTTCACCCGCAGCTTCATCAAAATCTGGACGTAACTAAACGCAATAATCAAGGATTGCAAAAGAAAAGAAAAGAGAATTTGAAGAAGCACCCAAGGCTAGTGGCAGACTAAAGTAAGACAAGGAAGACCTGAGGCAGATAGCCCTATTGGAATTCAATATAGATTTTATGTAAATAAGCTGAGACTTAGACTACCAGTAACTGATAACTGTAGTCTTAGGGTTAGTCTATGAATAAAGATCTGATAAAATGCTGGTGGTAATCATAGAAGATCCCCCATAACTTGAAAAGAGATACCATAACATATAGGTTAGCATAACAATTGATAGAACAAAGACCTATACATAGCGACAAAGAACATACAACGGTGATAAAAACACTATTACGACTGTAACTTAGTAAAAACATAATAATATAAAAAGCTATAATGGAGACCAAGACTAAGAAGCCGAAAAATGTGCTGCATTGGTTCAGAAAGGGCCTTAGATTACACGACAATCCCTCTTTGATGGATTCTTTGAAAGACGCAGACACCTTTCGATGTGTTTATATTATTGATCCATGGTTTGCAGGTTACTCTCAAGTCGGAATTAATAAATGGAGGTAGGAACCGTTCATAAGCTACATGTAAGACAGTGAAATGCTAATGCTACCTAAATGTAACAGGGGCAGATCCAGGATTTTGTGTTAAGGGGGGGGGGGGGCGTGTGATGATAACTGTGAGTGAATTAAAAAAAAAGATTCAAATTTTGTAAAAAGCAATGAGGCAAAACACAAATTTTCCGGCTTTTTAGGGGGGGGGGCATGCGACCCCACGCCCCGTCTAGATCCGCTGGTGGGATTGCTACTATCTCAGCGGTGGTAGAGCATCAGACTTTGTATTTGAGGGTACTACTATGGTGTAAGTTGCATCAAAGGGATAAACCTAAGATATTCTGATGCCCAGGGTGCAATACTGATTCTTGTAATTTCAATTTTATCATCACTCACTGGTGGATCCAGAAGCTACACAAGGAGGGGGAGGGTCCAGAAAAAGAATATAATAGGGCCCTTATTATGGGCCTTTTTGGGGATTACTGGGCCTTTTTGGCCTTATTTTTTTATCTTTGGCTAGGTTATCAAGAGAATAGGCCTTAAATTTTCAAAGTTTGGGTTCAAATTTTGGATCAAGATAATAAGCACAAAGGATGGATCTATATATACTGTATGTACATGCTTCTTTTATATTTATTAATCCAACGTTTTTTGTGCTTTGTAGGTTTCTCCTGCAGTGCTTAGAGGATTTAGATTTAGGGCTTAGGAATCTCAACTCAAGACTCTTTGTTGTGAGAGGACAACCAGCAGATGTTTTCCCAAAATTATTCAGGGTAGATTACTTTGACATTTAAATCTTGATTATTTGGGTTGTTTAAGTTCTTTCTGTTAGTTAATTTTGATAATTAAACAATAAAGGAAATGAATTAATTAGTGTAACCCTTGCAAATATATTAAATAACTTTTAAGTATAATATCAATGGATAATCTGGAGTTTCTGCTTGTGGCACTTTAACTCTTGTTAAGAATAAACTCAATTAAATATTGATTCAATATACATAAATTAGGAGGACAAATTATATGATGAAACAATAAAAATGCTGTATTTTAATTTTTCTAGTGAAAGTTGTATATCTCCATAAATAAATGGAAATTCAAAAGAGTTTGAATATTTCAGGAACTATTTTTTTATATGTGAATTTATTCCAATATTTAGCAAAAATATATGAACAACATTACTAATTGATTGATTTTAAAAAAATCATTTAAAAACATAAGTGTCAGTTTTAATTAAATTATGAAGAATAGGAATACTTAAGAATTTAAAAGTTATCTATGAAGTGAAATAACTCATAAAATAAAACCATGGGCCAGGGTTCTGTTGACACAATGCATAATTGGAATTTGTCTCTTAATGGAATTGCTATTTTCTAGTTCTATTCTATTGCTATACCAAGTTGGGAAATGTTGAGGAGTAAATGAAAAAATATAAGAGATAGAGGACTAGTTTATAATAATGATAGTTATGTTCATAGAAAGTTTTAAAATGTACCTTGTATTATTCATTGAATAAACCCCTTTTTCCAGGAATGGAATATTACGACACTATCGTTTGAACAGGACCCGGAGCCATATGGACGAGAACGGGATTGTGCAATATGTTTGATGGCTCGTGAAGCTATGGTGGAAGTTATAATACGTATATCTCATACCCTATATGACCTAAACACGTAAGTGGATTTAAACTATTCTTGATATTTTCATTTGGATTGAAAGAGAGATACTAATATTGAATGATGTATGTTTGTAATGGCTATAAAATGAAATAATTCCTAAGAAATACATATATCTCATGCTCTCCTCACATTGAAATATCTGAGGGCAGCTGTGCATCCATGCATCCAATAAGAAATATTTTATAATGTCAGACATGCTAAAAACACAAAAAGGACACCCATAGTTTAAGTGTCTGTGTTTATATCCCTGTTTCAGAATAATGCACAGAAATAATGGATGTCCACCATTGACATACAAAAAGTTCCAGAAAATTCTAGAAACAATTAAACCACCAGAATATCCCATTGAGGCTGTCACATTAAAACATGTTGCTGGGGCGACGACACCTATAGGCGCAGATCATGAAGACAAATTTAGTGTGCCAACACTTGAAGAATTAGGTAATTGTCAACGTTTATTGTTTATATGGTCAGGAAAGACTCTTTGTGTTAAGAATGAAACAAAGATGCATTGTATAATACAGTAGGCTTTAATACATGAATTTTTGCAAGACTCACCCATTTTCATTGAATGCTATGTTTTCTTATCACACACTGTGTATTTCAGGTTTTGACACTGAACTGCTTTATCCTCTAGTGTGGCGAGGAGGGGAGCAAGAAGCCTTGCGAAGGTTGGATCGCCATTTAGAACGAAAGGTACAAGGCAATTGCATTATATCTAATATACAGACCTATGGGTCATTTCCAAATTGTGTTTCAATTTTTTTTCACTGCTACAAAATTCTGTTTAATGGCAGATATATATGAAGTAGTTTAAAGCAAGTTATAATGGGAGTATAGGGTCTTAAGAGCTAAAATCACTTCTGATTGAGTTCTTTATATTGTTTTGAAGTTTTACATTATCTCTTGATTATTAATCACACTTCACGCTTTTTTTGTACTTTTAAAACGCCCATGAACATTTGTGACATGAGGAACCTCAAAATATTCCTATCCATTATTTATGTCCACATGAAAATATTCTGTGGGAAAACTAGAAAGTTGAAAAAATTACCCATGATATATTACCGTGTCCTATTAACAAGAGATTGATGCAAATTCATACTATTATATTTTATATTTGACTTCAGGCATGGGTAGCAAGTTTTGAGAAGCCAAAGATGGCGCCACAATCTCTACTCGCGACGCAAACAGGTCTCACGCCATACTTAAGGTTTGGATGCCTATCAGCAAGACAGTTCTATTGGAAACTTACGGAGCTGTACAGAAAGGTACAAGGCAGTGTCTATGTTTCACACTAACTTCTACATGTTATCACTCTTCCTTAGTGGCTGGGTGGTAAATGTTGTTACATAAGCTGAAAAATGAAAAAAATAATTCATTCAGTTTATTCACTGGGTCTTTTTCAAATATTCAATGAACTAATTAATGGGTCGAGTCAAAATATATGTGATTATTTAACGATAAAGTAAATTTGGATGAAATTCCTTTGTTACATGCTACATATTTAGTGATCTTCATTGCGATTACAATGTTTTGTAAAGTATATACAATTCCGTGCTTTATTTATGTGTGTATTATGTTTTATGTTATAATGCGACCTCAAGCGCAGGTTCGAGTCATGAATCAATTTAATCCCAACATACTAAGATTTTCTCAACCAATCAGTGAACAGAAAGAATGCTTTTAATTTGATTATTTTGATGTCAATATTTGTCACTTTTTGGTCAACAATGTCAAACTGTATACTGGTATATGAAGCTAAGTCAGACGAATGCAAATGGTAATATAATGTTTGTGTTGTTATATTAGTCCAGTATGTTGTTCCTTCTCTTTCCGTGTGTCTTTGATGGTTCCCCCCTTATTCCATTTTAACTTTTCACAATAAATGATTTCATAGTAAGTTGCATCATATTATTTTTATCTCTAATAATCATACAATGTCAATGTTATTTACTTGGCAGATTTTGTAAGAAAATGACTTATATTTGCAGTAATATTGCTGTTGTACCACTGTGACATCTGTCAAGGACTTTCTGTTTGTTTGTATTGATTTTTTTCTGTAGGTCGTGCTTCACTATAGGCTATATACTCTGATCAGTGATATTAGTTTCAAGTTTTGTATTTCTTGATTAGTTTGTTCAAGATGATATATCCAGGTTACATCCAATTTCCTGTTAGGCATATTTTTAACCATTTCTTCATAATAATTGTCATCTGTTAATAAATTGATCCATTTTATATTCCCACTACTGATGTATGATTTTACATGTATCGTTGCATGTCTAATTAAATCTTCCACCCCCATTTTTGCTCACCATAATTAATCTTCTTATTTTTGAAGAACTGAGATATCATTTGAGATATCAGGAGACTGAGGAGAGATTTGAAGGAGATTTGATTTTTACTATTTTTTCTGTTTGAAGTTCAATTTCTCCTCTTCCATTAATGATCATATCATATAAGAGTATTTTATGTTTGCATAATTTTTAAGATCTGTCTTGATTTTTTAATGTTGGGTTTGTAGAAAAAACCGGGTACCGGTAGTAAATCCTCCATGCTGGGTTTAAACTTGGTACCCAGTACTCGGTCGAAAAAACCGGGTACCCAAAAAACGAAAAATACGAATATACAAATTTTGAAGGAAGTTACATACATTTTTGTATACTCAAAACAAATCTTACAAGTTTTCTTATGATCTAATTATGTTATATATTCGTATTTTTCGTTTTTTGGGTACCCGGTTTTTTCGACCGGGTTCCGGGTACCAAGTTTAAACCCAGCATGGAGGATTTACTACCAGGTTCCCAGTACCCGGTTTTTTCTACAAACCCTTCAATGTTTTCCTTTATCAAGCACTTAGTTGAAATTTTTTTTCTTATAAACATCGGCGATGCATCGTTACATTTTTAACATGGATACACAGAAAGGTGGTTAGTACCTCGGAGAAACAAGTGTGAGTCCTTCACTGCGTATAAACCTGGAGAGTCGGTTTAAGACATTAACCACCTGAAAATATGTTGAAATATACAAATTTTACGATCACTTTTTCATTTTTTTAATTGTAGGTGAAAAAACGGCAAGATCCTCCACTTTCGCTTCATGGGCAGCTACTTTGGCGGGAATTTTTCTACACCATAGCCACACAAAATCCATATTTTGATAGGATGGTTGGAAACCCTATATGTGTACAGATACCATGGGATCGGAATCCAGAGGCCTTTGCCAAGTGGGCCGAGGTAGATCTTACTTTCATTAGGAATATTCACAAAGCAAAATAAATTAAATATTCAAGCACGATTGACCAAAATATGTAAGAATATCGTAGCCTTTATTTCATGTCTCCAAAGTAGAAGTTCATTTCTTTCTAGAAACTTTCTACTTAAGAACCAAACGTTTATATCATATTATTCTTGTCAGTTGTCTGAATGAAGTGAGTGAGTTCTTTAAGTGAAAAAATAATTCCACATGAATTGAGCTGGACATTTTGAGGTGTTGCTTAAAAGCATATATAGGATATACTGTAAAACCTGTCTTAGTTGAACATCTTTGGTACCTCTAAAAAGTTTCATTTGGGAGGTGTACCTCTTATAGAGGTTTATTCAACATTAAATCAGTTGGTCTTAGGTGTTCCACTTACAAAGGTATTCCACTTACAAAGGTGTTCCACTTTACAGGTTTCACTGTACATCTTTGGCATTTCCACATTTATTTTACAGGGCAAGACAGGGTTTCCATGGATTGATGCCATCATGTGTCAGTTGAGGCAAGAAGGGTGGATTCATCATCTGGCACGTCATGCAGTGGCATGTTTCCTGACACGCGGTGACCTCTGGCTTAGCTGGGAAGATGGAATGAAGGTGAGAGTCTGAAGGCATTATGCTTATTAAAATTGGATTTCTATCTCCAATTTTGAATGCCAATTTACCATATCATAACAAAATCCTTGATTCTATTATTTATATCAAATATATAACATTAGATTTTGTTCTATTCATTGGTTAGACTGCTATTGCTTTAACTTTGGTCTTTTACAATTATAATCAGAAAAATAACCAGTCGCATATTGGGCCATAAATTAGAGAGTTTTGGTTTTTGTCTCTTGAACCTTTTACTATTTACCATAAATGCCATGTGTTACTTTTTTATTATTATGTAGTTGTAAATAAATGTGATTTGAAATGCTAAACATGGAATTATTTACTTTAGCCTTTTTTCCATTGCATGTGAGAGAATTGACATGTGACAGAAATCTTATTGTTGCATCTCACATTTTAGATATGTCATGACATGCTCTAGGGAGCCAATGCAGACATCACATTCAAATTACTTCCCTCGAACAGTATTAGTGTCTTAGTGTTTGAGGTTTCCGTCATTTCTTCCATTGATTTCTATTGTTTATAGGTGTTTGATGAACTGCTGTTAGATGCAGACTGGAGTGTGAATGCTGGCATGTGGATGTGGCTTTCTTGTAGCTCATTCTTCCAGCAATTCTTCCACTGCTATTGTCCCGTCAACTTTGGCAAACGTGCAGATCCAAATGGAGACTACATAAAGTAAGTTTCACTTTATAATTCAAGTTTTCTAGATTTATATCAAAAGCAAGAGACCGATGCAATTCAATTTAGGATAACTTAATGTAAAGTATGAGAGTGATGCTTTTGAAAATTTTTACAGGCAAATTCATACAAGCATAGCACATTAATGTTTCGAGTTCTAATGGTGAAGGGATTTTGAGAATGACTGCCATCTTTACATGGCTGTTTATTTTTTGTTTAATGGAATTTGTTAAACCTGGCTTTGTCATTTCTCTTATACGATCTTCAATAAAATAATGTCAATGAAAAGGAATGTGTTTATTCAATTACACATTTATGACAGTGATTTTTCAATGTATACCTCAATTGTTGCCTGAAATGTCGAGGTCATACTATAATTTAAGAGCAATCTGTCAACCATTGGATAAGGTGCCATATTCAGTTGTCTGGTGAAAATTTGCCAAAAATATGATATTTTCCACTGGTTACAAAAATATCCATTTATTTATTTTCAGGCGCTATCTACCAATTTTACGAGGTTATTCCGCGCAGTATATATATGAGCCCTGGACAGCTCCAATGCAGGTTCAAAAGGCAGCTAAATGTATCGTAGGACAAGACTACCCCCTCCCTATGGTCAACCATGTACATAGCAGTACAATAAACCTAAAGAGAATGAAGCAGGTTTATCAACAAGTCACTTATAAAGCAAATTGTAAGTTTTTAAATTTTTTCATAATTTAATAAAATTTTTATCGTTTTAAAATAATTAAGTTTTACATCAAAATCTGCTTATGATATGGTTTCATATGTTTTTCTCCTTTTACGGGTAAAAAGTAATCTGATTTCTTTAATACTCTGAGCCATCAGAATGGACCAAATTATCACAGAATGCAAGACCTGTCAGACACAGAATTTCCAGTAAAACATTATTTGTTTGAACATTACAGTTTATATCCAGTAGTCTAGATTCATCCCATGGGCGATAGTATTCTTTCAAAGTAATTTCCATCTGCCTCATTGGTGTGTGTCTTTTATTTTCTAGGCTCTACTGCAACGTCTCAGGACACAGTTCAAGTACAGTTTATGAAGAAAAGAGGTAAGAATAGTACAGCCTTAAATGGATCATTTACCTTTCACAAGAGTCAGTGAGGGTTTTGAGTAATATAAACTATTCCTTATGGCTGTAAGGAGAAATAATGGCCTCTGCCATACCCAACAGCCAGTACTCATGGTTTATACATTACAGAAAAGAAGGTTTGTATAAAAGTATATCAATTGTGGAAATAATATGCCGCTATAAATAATTTTATTTTGGTGTAATTGAGGTCCCTGTTGAGGGTTGTTATAGTTATAAGCTCCATGAAAATACATTTACCATAATTGTTTTTATTATTTTCAGCTCAAATGCTTCAACAGAAAGATATATATAATGAACACCCTGACCCTAGGGCTGAACTACCCAGAGGGAGTACCAGTAATAAACAAACATACCAGCCAGTTTAGCATGGGACAATCTACAACAGTGACCCAATTGGTGCTATATGTAATGAACACCCTGACCCTAGGGCTGAACTACCCAGAGGGAGTACCAGTAATAAACAAACATACCAGCCAGTTTAGCATGGAACAATCTACAACAGTGACCCAATTGGTGCTATATGTAATGAACACCCTGACCCTAGGGCTGAACTACCCAGAGGGAGTACCAGTAATAAACAAACATACCAGCCAGTTTAGCATGGGACAATCTACAACAGCGACCCAATTGGTGCTATATGTAATGAACACCCTGACCCTAGGGCTGAACTACCCAGAGGGAGTACCAGTAATAAACAAACATACCAGCCAGTTTAGCATGGGACAATCTACAACAGTGACCCAATTGGTGCTATATATGATGAACACCCTGACCCTAGGGCTGAACTACCCAGAGGGAGTACCAGTAATAAACAAACATACCAGCCAGTTTAGCATGGGACAATCTACATCAGTGACCCATTTGGTGCTAAAATCAGATTCTATATGGCAGATATGGCCCTTAAATTCCACAGCAGGGTTGAATGTGATGGTTGCTCATTAGGGGTGAAAGTAACCCTCTTAAGTGATATAGGAGCTGGACATCACTTTATCAAGTGGAAAATAAATAGAACTGTTGGCGATAGTCATGATAGTATCTGTTAATATCTGATATTAAAGGCTGATCTAGAATGCTTAACACCAAGGAATAAAGACTTGGAAAATATCGAATTTATCCCATTGAACATTGTCTATTTGGGGAATATAGAGAATGCAATCTGTCCTGCAATAACTCAAACACTGTCAGCCCAAAACTTTTGATATGATGTACATAATATGCCATGTGAGTACAAGCTCTGGCTGAAAGTTGATTTTCAAAATGGCTATTTGTTTAAAAATAACTGCTATTTTTAATAGTGTCCATTTTACAGTATTTTTGTTACAAATTTCTTAGATACGTTTTTTGACAACTTACATTAATTTTGAAAAATGGTGGCCACAAATATCACATAATGCAGTGTTCCCCCCCCAAAAAAATGGGTGCAAAGTCTGAAAAAAGCAGCGCTCGCGATATCTCCAGGTGGCTAAAAGTGACATGGGGAGGTCCCTGTGATATCATTTTTGCTATAACTTCAAAAGTAACAGATGATTCAGTTAGTTTGAAGCATGAAACATTTTCTCAATTTGCTCAATAAGGCAGCCATTTTGAAAAATGGAGACAATTTTTATTATGATCATATGTGCCATTATTGGCTTTTTTGTTTTAGTTTGAGTTTAATTTAATAACAGTATATAATTTAATCTGACTTGTATTACACGTTCAGTGGGATTTCCTACACATTGGCTTGCCATTATATAGTTAATACTAGTCCCAATAATTTTGATAAAGAGTGTTAGTACTGATCAAGGCAATTTCATTGAGCGTGAATTTTGGTTAAAAAATATTGAATGTATAAGTAACAAAAATGACATCCCAATAAAAGTACCCCTTTCTGGGGCACATGAATCATCTCGGTGACATCTATTTATTTAAATAATTTTACGAATGAGAACCAGTTCAACAGTTTAGAGACACATGTACATAAACTGAATTGATGAAAATGATTACTCTTACTGTACAAAAGTATTATATTGTATATACTGAATCAGTATATTGTAAATAATAATGTAAATCTGTTGTACTGTAGTTTTTGTTATATCTCATTTAGGTTTAGTTTTTATAAAACCACCAGTGGGATATGTTGTGGGCTGTTGTTATAGCGATATTATCACTATCACAGTTGTCGTGGCAATCGCAATCAGCATTTCAAAATCCAGATTCAAGTTAAATCTCATATTTTCTTGAAATCCACGTGCCTGTAGCAACATATGTTATAGCAAAAAAGTGAAGTAAAAAAATGGATAATTTTCACACATTAATATTGTAACATGACTTGATGCACATAGATATAAAATCAGATATACCATAAACATATCCGACATGTGTATATATATTAATTTAAAAGGAAACCAGGCATTAACATGTAAAATATCAACAGCTGCCAGTTGTTACAGACAACAAAAAAGTTATAGACTATAAACAGTTGTAAAAACAATGTTCAATTTTAAGGGGTTTCAGCCTTGAAGAGAAAATGTGCAACATACCAAAGAATGACAAATAATGGGCCAATATGAATGTAAGAGCACATTGGCTTTCATGTAAATATTATTGTAAATAGCCAAAGTTAATTGATTATGTAACTATTTAAAAGTAAAATATATTCTTCACATGTATAAAAAATGTTGTTGCCAGATTTTCTTGCACATACAATGTGCAACAATTTCCATTTTAGTGCCTTGTTTGTGACTGTTGGGGGTGCCCAGCATTTGGTTCCGTAACTGTTGTAATCCCATCAAACGAAGTTCGGAGGGCCGCCATTTTATCCTATAACCCAAAAAGTAGTGGAGCGATTCTGTTCATATTTGGTATGTGAATATAAGCACTGCACACTGTCTGTCACTTGTGGTAGAAGGTGGTCATTTTGAAAAATGGCTGCAATTTTTGCTATATACTTTGTTTGTAAAAATTCCAGCCATGGCTGTTCGATGGGATTTGCTACGCTTTGGCGTTGCTGTTATCTAGTCACACTTGTAACCATTTGCAATTTCAAACTTGGTGGTGACATTTTGTCACATTAATGCCTTGTCTTACAATTAGTCAACAGGTCACAAGACTGTGAAAAGCATTCTAATTATTATAAAGGTACAGTCCCACTTGAAAGTTTCACTGTACACAGTATTTGAATTCATGATTGGAGAAATAATGCCAGCTAGAATAACACTGTATTTTATTTAAATATGTCTTAAAAGTATTCTAGATGTAATGTGTTATTGGAGGAAACACATCCTGTTATGCCTTAGAGCATGACATATGTCATATAGTATTTCTCTAATTTTGTAGTGCGTAATATTGAAGGCAAAATTTATTTAATAACAAGGCAAAATGCGAAATGTCACTACCTGCCATTTGTTACAGATGCTAAACACAGATCATCAACCGCTAAACACTGTCCACAAAAAGTTGATAACAATATGTCACCACTTGTGGTTGCAACATAACTAGAAAAATGAAACTGGGATTTAGTTCAAAATAATGCATTTTGTCCCTCACAATCTCCTGTTTATATCTGAAAAGAAATTAGAGTTGTCTGATCAAATAAGGAAGCAGTTGAAGACTTAATAAGCAGAAGTGAACCAGCTTTCAGAAGTATTGTTATTAGACCCCAAATTCTTGATCTTTGTAAATTGGATCATTTGTGAATAAATTGCTAACTCCTGGCATTTTGAAACAAGACATTATCATGCAATAAGTCACCACCTGCCATTTATGACATTGACCATTGGTGGATGCCAATCGCCTAACATCATCACAATAAAACTATTTTCTGACTATTTCTACCTCATAATGTTCAAAAATAGTAAAAGTATCTTGGGTAACAGATAGTTAGCACCGCTCAGATATTCTCAGAATTCTTCATAATTGGAACTGTGAAAATTGCGCAAACTAGATATAAAGAAGCATCTCCCCAGAGGAGCAAATCCCAGAGAACAAAAATATTTTGTCAAATCACTCCGTTATTTAGACCATTCATGATAGAAATATAGGTAGTATGAGTATTGCCCCATTTTCACAAGACAGTTACTTACAATATAAGTAAAGGATGTAGACACCACTGGGTTGGATTTTGTGTTACCCTGTAAGACATATTACATAGTATATGAGCTCGCAAAGAAACAGCAACAAGATATATGAAAACAAAATAGCGGTCCCTTGATGTGAATCAAATCAATATCCTGCATAGTTGCGTCTAATGATACTTTATGATATTTATTAAATCCTGCAGATGTCAGCTTAACCAGGTTTTAGTAACCCCTTATTATTTCCTCAACGCAGAAAGAAAAGTAGATTATTGATCATATGCAAATATTTGATATTGAGAGGAGTGCATAAAGCTACCTCCTCCCTCAATCTCTGTCTAATACAGTTGGGTAGTAGATGGGGGTGAAACAATACCATCATCTTTGCACAGTATGTTCAACTCTCAAATGTGTGCATTAAGAGTGGTTAAACCTCGTAGTCACTGTTTTTTCATGATTATTGGAACAAATTGTGACACTTTTTGCTGTAACCGTTTTGCACTGTTTTACATAGATCTACCAAATGGCAGATTATCTGCAGGAAGGAAATTGACAATTCCATTCCAAATTGCTCGATAAATTGTCATATTTAATCAGTTATTGCAAATATGACAAAAATTGATTCCTAGAAATTTAATATTGAAAGTATTGATTCTTAGAAATTGCACAATGTTAAGTTTATTACTAGTTTCATATGGAGAGTCTAACAAATTAACCCCATAGGATTACTGCCTCTCATTATTATTGATGTAAATCGTGATTTCTCATGTTTACAATTCATACAGCCACTTTTCTACAGGGTGGGCCAAAAATCCATATTTTTATTTTGCAATATCTTTTTTATAATGCACAGATATCAAACATATTCTTTCAGGAAATGCAGCAATTAATTATACATTCGACGCCAAAATGTCATACTGTAAATTGCTTTAATTTGGTGCTATTTAATTTGGCAGATTGGACAAATTTTGGCTGCTATTTAATTTGGTGGATTGACCCATCAATAAAATATAGATATTGAAGGGTACGCTAGGAAGCCAAATGACCAGGTTACTATTGGGTGACAAAGGGAGGTTTACCTTCATGTATGAGCTAAAATGTAATAAAATGAGACTTAAGGTCCCATTGATTTTTTCAAAATATTGGCTTAAGACTTAATTTGGCGGTTTGTATCAGTCTGCCAATTCAGCCAAATTAAAATGGCTGTCAAATTCAAGCAATTTACTGTAATTAACTACTATTATTTAAATCATATTTGTATTTCAATAAATTCAATAATTGTACAAATTCTATAATTTTTGGGCTCAACTTGCACCGTACTAATGCTTCTATATGAATTATTAAAAAGGTTATTGTCAAATATTACAAATATGGATGTTATTTGACCCATCCTGTGCTTTGGATATGCCACCTTATTTTGAAGGCTATATAACTAAGTGTAATATTATTTTGAGAACTTATGTGTGCCAATAAAATATGTTTCATCCATGACTTTTGATTTCCCACAATCCTTGATGATATAAGGTCTTGTGGGAGTCATCTTTTTCACAATAAAACATTTTTATCAATGACTTTTAATTTCCCACAATCCTTGGTGATATTAGGTCTCAATATCACAAATCGAACATAGAATAACACTGAAGACTTTAACTTAGTTCATTACACCTTAATTTGTATATTTGTCCAACTCAATAGGAGAAGGACATATGACAGTATTACACATTATAATTGTTAGTAAATCCTATAAAATATATTACAGACCATTCATTATTTGCACTAGCCACTGGCCAGTATAGTATTGTTAGTTCAAATATTTGCACTAATAAATGTATAGATTAATTGCCATTAAAAATAAAGAAATAAATAGTACCTTGGGTACTGGGGGCTCACATGGTGTTGCTCAAAAGTGAATGATAGTTGAAATGGCAGGAAATTTAAAAAAAACAGATATAATTTTTTGCTGTTTTTTGTAACAAAATTATTTCATAAAACTACTCTTTACAGTGACATGGCTCTTTACAATGCAGGACACCTGAAATTATTTGTAAAGCTAGAAAATGGGCCAAAAGTGAATTTCGCAAGACAAAAATTGGCGACCATTTTGAAAATAGGCGAGCTTTTGAACCAGGAGTCATAGGGGAGTTTTCTGTATTGATGTTGAACAAAAGTAAGTTATAACAGGAATCCTATCGACAGAGGTTTTAAAGCAAATAGTCCAAAAGTGGATTTCACGAGACAGATGGACAAATCAATGTTAACTAAAATGGCTGAAAATATGAATGGCTGAAAGATGATTGCCAATTTTTTGTAACAAAGTTATTTTATACAACTACTCCTTACAGTGACATGGCTTTTTACAATGCAGGACACCTGAAATTATTCGTAAAGCTAGGGAATGGGCAAAAAGTGAATTTCACGAGACAAAAATGGCGACCATTTTGAAAATAGGCGAGCTTTTGAACCAGGAGTCATAGGGGAGTTTTCTGTATTGATGTTGAACAAAAAAGCTTAAAACGGGAATACTATCGACAGAGGTTTTAGACGAAATGGTCCAAAAGTGAATTTCGCAAGACAAAAATGGCAGCCATTTTCAAAATAGGCGAGCTTTTGAACCAGGAGTCATAGGGGCTTTTCTATATTGATGTTGAACAAAAATATTGTAAAACGGGAATCCAATTGACAGAGGTTTTAAAACGGGCCAATTGTTAACAGAGGGACAGACAGAAGGGCGGACAGATAGACGGACGGACAAACAGACAGACGGACAAGTGAGTGACTGCAATAGCTCAACATGTGAGCTAAAAAAATAAGACTTTTCACACTATCGAAGCCTTTGAGTTAAAAATGGTGGTTTTAGGATATAACTGAGGTTTACGTAGGTTTATGCTTATTTAGCGCACAGCACCTTAATGTCTCTCTTGTGAGGCATTTCCCATAAAATTACTCTCTATAATCGAATTATGTTTCTTATGCTATGGAATTTCTTTACAATCTGCTTGATTGTAATTACTGAATACATTCTAACAGTAGTCACTGAATATTGACTACACTCAAGAATATTGACTATATTCAAAGTCATTACCAAATACTGACTACATCCATAAATATTGAGTTATATTCCAATAGTCATTACTGAATATTGACTACACTCAAGAATATTGACTATATTCAAAGTCATTACCAAATACTGACTACATCCATAAATATTGAGTTATATTCCAATAGTCATTAATGAATATTGACTACACTCAAGAATATGGACTATATTCCAAGTCATTACCAAATACTGACTACATCCATAAATATTGAGTTATATTCCAATAGTCATTACTGAATATTGACTACACTCAAGAATATGGACTATATTCCAAGTCATTACCAAATATTGACTACATTCATAAATATTGAGTTATATTCCAATAGTCATTACTGAATATTGACTACACTCAAGAATATTGAGACATTTCATCAGTCATTACTGAATATCGCCTACATTCCAACAGTACTATTGTGACGTGTTTTCCGGGCACCAGCATCATCACCTTGTGGCCGTTGGGTTTTTGACAAAGCTTCAGTTTTGTGGAAATCAATCATTGTGTACATTTCTGTACGCCGACTAGGGGATTCTAGCCCCGAAGTCATACTTTTGGGTGATGTAGGTGTTGTGCTCGGTCCAACTGACTGACTATCATTGGCTTTTTCAAGATCTAGTTGAATGTAGTTGACTTTTTTCAAGCCCTGTTCCTTTTTTATATTATTGGATGCGATTATCTCAAGATTGGCGTAACTATGCTGTTCGTCACTTGACTGTTGCCGTGGCAATGTCAATTTTTTCCCAGGCTCAACTCTTTGCTGTTTTTTACTCAATGGTTTCACATCACTTCCTATATTAACATATGTTGGGCCCACGGCCTCATCACAACTGTGATCCAAATCAGCGTAATTTAAACTTTTGGATCCAGTTGGCGGTGTATTTGGTTTTGGTAACGTGGCTGCTGCCCCAGAAAGCACGTCACGATCAAGGTCAGCATATTGTAAATCCTTTGTAGCACCTCCTGTTGAGGATAAATTTTCGGTACTCCGAGGTAAATCCAAGATGGCGTAATTAATTGTCCTTACGTCAGATTGAACCTCACGTACATTCTCTTCTGCAAAATCAACAAGTATTTCAGTAGCAGAGACACCATTTCCATTAGGCCTAGCAGCTGGCCAGTTTTTCTGGGCAATGGGTAGAGGCGCAGTGTTCATATATTCATGTCCGGGGCCATCTAAATCAGTTGGATTCATGTGATTGGATTGTATGTGGTTGATTGCGGTTGTAGCTGGTGTGGTACCAACATGCCCATTTACATAATGGGGGGATGATGGCTGTGTAGTGTTCTGAGGCTGCATGTAGCCAACATTACCATTAGCGGGGGATTCTGACGATACAAAGGCTCCATTCAGATGCTGCTGTTGTTCTAATTCAATCATCGACCCAGGCCGACTGTTCGTTGATGCTGTTTCAAACAACATAGAGGGCCTAGTATTCTCCTCCTGTCCTGCACGCTGTATAGCCTCCTGCAGAACATTGAACAAATTTTCCGCTCTACGACACTTAAACGCATAAATTCCTGGCCCTGTAGGGCAACGGCGTCCACTTTCAAATGAGAACAAATCAGCATCAAATCCATATCGTCTTAAGCATCTTAAAGGCCACCTGATTGGTTCTTTCCCACGTTGATATAAAATCAGCTCATTGTCTGTGATTTCGATGTTCCCTGGATTAAGTTCCTGTCCTTGTGAATCCACGTTAAATACACGGAACATCCGTGGGTTCGTATCATTGGCATTCTGGGTAGAGTAGAAGCACCCCATCACTATAGCAACAGCATTCTTCCTCAAATCCTGGAAAATAACAAAAGATTGATATATTTCTGATAAAACTTATTGTCTAGTAGATAACTATTTATCTATGTTTCTTAGTGTTTTTGCATTTATATATATATGATACTAGTTTATGAAGAAATGAAAAGTGTAAATAAAAACTATTTAACAGCTTACTTATAAAAACTCAAAAACTTATTTTTTATACATCCGTGTTTATCAGGAATCTTCCAGAATAATTATGAGATTTTACTTCCTCATTGAGAATAATCTAGGAAAATATAAGACAGAATTAGAGTAGAATAGGCAAGCCTTGGTCAAATATTGTTCCTAGAGAATACCTGCAAAAATACTTTTAACTTATAACTTTAGACTAATGTAAATGTCAATGAAATAATCATATGTTAGCCTTACTGCTAAAGTACATCAAAATCATTCATGCTTAGTAATATAATAAAGCATTGTATTTTAATCTATGAATGAAATTGCTTTTTTATGATCGTAATTAACCAATAAATATGACGTCTACACATTGACGATCAGGATATTTTTAACATCCTTAAAGAAATTATTATTAATTTACTGCAGGTAATCTGACATTTAAGTCTGAATGCGACCATAATTAATGAAATAGAAAAAAAATGTGAAAAGTAACCTTGTTACAGCAATAAGTAACGTTAGTACAAGAAGTACATTTCGCTCCAATAATGTAGGCTCAAAATATTTTTTATGGCTCAAGATGCTCAACAAATTATTTATGAGAAAATATTTTTGTGAAAATAGGATCAGAGGTTCAGATCCTCAGGAAAACAATACTAGTATGAACGGCAAGTTTTTTTGAAAAATTACTAGAAATAGTATGACTTTTTATTAGTATTTTTATGAGAACTACCAAACTTCCACCATTGTCCACTTGGTTTGGGCCATCTGCTTCCTACTAACCCCCTGGCTGACAGTACCCTTGCTGGCAGTCTTTTTGACCAGGAATTTATCTATTTACAGTTTATTTCCAGACAAATTTTGGATTTCTACTGTTTTACAAAACATCCCATAATTTCACACGCATGAAATACATCTGAAATCTCGCAAGGAGTTTTAATTTGAAAACCTTTTTTGAATTTTTTGGAAGAACTTCTCTATATTTGACAAAACATGTGGTTAAACGGAGACTAAAGCTACAAAGTAGTTGGTGAGAGATGGAATCATTCTGAATACTAAAAGTTTCGGGACCATGTCATACTCGTACGAAAGGCAATGAAGTATTTTAAAATTATTTCTCATATTTGTCAAATAACGTCTGTACATGACGTAAACAAAATCATGTTTTCCTGAAATGGCATAAGATCGAGGAAGATTGGCTCCCAGGGGTGCCAATATACAGGGTGATCCAGAAGTAACGTCAAAGATGTTGTAATTTCAAAAGTATTCATCAGATCTTCATGAAATTTGGTATACATGTACCCACAACATTTCTGAGTTACCATCTCAAAGATTGAAATTCAATCATTTCATTAGTTGAAATTATGGTTGCTATAGTAACCCGATATCGCGTAACCCGGGGCAAATTACTTAACGTGTAATGCGTAATCTCAAAATATCAACAAGATCTGAAATTGTTATATCCTCAACATTTTATTTCACAACAATATAAATCATACTATTGCACAGTTACTAATAATAGTTCATTCTACATAATTGCCACCATTTGCAACACATTTCTCATGTCTGGATACCCATTCCTTGAACACAGAATTAAATCCATTAGAACTCATTCCTTGTAGGGCTAGTACTACGGCATTTTTCAATTCCTCACAGGATTGAAAATTATTTCCACTAAGGTTTCTTTTTAGTTCCCCATACAAATAAAAGTCACTGGGGGCAAGATCAGGTGAATAAGGGGCATGTTCAAGTTGTTGAAATCCAAGTGTTTGGACTGTGTTGCTGGTCAGGATTGCAGTGTGCGTAGGGGCATTGTCCCAATGCAAGATAAACTGCTGCAGATGTCCGGGACGCTTTTTCCTCAGGGAACGTTGAAGATCACGCTTCAGAACCTGAAAAACAAATGTTTAATGGTTGTTAAACCAGTTGTTTCATTGATTGGATTTGGATTTGAATCATGGCCATGGAGTTATAATTATATTGACAGTGAACAACATTTAAATACTTTAATTTAAAAATAAAATTCACAGTATGATGTATTATTAGAACAAATGATATCTTACCTTTGCAATGTAAACGGCATTAATTCTCTGGCCAATGGGAACAAAATGGGTTAACACCATTCCTCTAATGTCAAAGAATGTCACAACCATTTGTTTCTTTTGTGGAATTCCTGGTACTATTTTAGGCTTGGTTGGTGTTGGGGAGTTGTCATGTTTCCACGATGAACTTTGTTGCGTGGTCTCTGGGATGTAGAATGATAGCAATGATTCGTCACTCGTAATGATCTTGTTAAGAAAGTCATCTCCATCTCTCCGATATTTTGCAAGAAAGTCCCTTGAAGCCTTAACACGCCGGTCTTTCTGCTCCTGTGTCAAGTCATGCGGCACCCATTTAGCAGACACCTTCTTTAACAGACAGTTCTTTGTCAGTATCCGTTGCACAGTCCCATAGCTCAGATCGTGTTTTTCAGCCAATTCTCTGATAGAAATTTGCCTATTGTCCATATAGACATCAGCTTCAATTGCTTTGATGGTTTGATCATCGAATGACGACACTGGCCTGCCTCCTCGCTGCTTGTCTACCACTTCATCATATCCACTGGAATACTTGTTAAACCACCTGTAAATGTTTCTCTCAGCAATGGCAGCTTTACCATATGCCTTCTTTATCTGTCTTATAGTCTCTTTTACACCTTTCCCCAACTTTACACAGAACTTAATGTTTGTTCTTTGCTCTATTTTACTCTGACTTGGCGCCATCTTGAATTGGGTGGGTTAGTGTCCTTGGTCATGTTAGTATTTGTCATGGATGATGGAAGCAATTCAAAGAAATTGAAAGCTTTTTATGAATGCCTATTGTGACATCACAACTATTACATATTTGTTACCATGGCAACAAATATAAAAAAAATCATAGAAAACAAACAATGAACATTTTCAAATGTTACTGACTTTTTAAATTAGAGAAATTCACAAAAACGTTATGGTTTCTCTTCAATTTGCCCCGGGTTACGCGATATCGGGTTACTATAGCAACCATAATTTCAACCAATGAAATGATTGAATTCCAATCTTTGAGATGGTAACTCAGAAATGTTGTGGGTACATGTATACCAAATTTCATGAAGATCTGATGAATACTTTTGAAATTACAATGTCTTTGACGTTACTTCTGGATCACCCTGTATATTCTGTTCAATATATGGGTATCACGTAGTCATATTATGAATACAAAATTCAATCAAGAATATCAGCCATTCTCCTCGCAGCAGTAAAAATATACAGGCAGGATTGGAAACTACCGCATTGATTGGAGATCCTAAAATTACTGCCAAAAAACAAGACGGCCAACCAAAATTTAGTCAACTCTAGACCTTGGTACCATCTACATGTAACATATCTATGAATTTGAAGAAAAAATCTGACAATGCATTTTCTTGTAATCGCGATGACAAAATTTATTTTGTGCTCTTATCCCGTTATGAAAAAATCTACAAAACAATGAGATCAACAAAGAGCAATGTAAAACAAAAATATTCTTAACTCATTTTAGTTTCTTCTTTCTAAATAGGCCAATATATTGAATAGGCTCCAAATGAATGATAAAATGGCTATGAAAAAGCAATCATCTATTTTGCTATACATCTCTTAAAGATTTATAAAGTTGGTGATATTGTGAAGCGCCACATCAATCATATTCCATATAATATTTATCTAACAGTTTATTTTTCTCAAGGCAGACTGTATTAATTATGCACAATGTCAGTTTTTTGTATTCATGGATCACATGTAGACACATTAACACTTGTAGCAGCTTTGCTATAGCAGTATCAGCCAGTTGAATGTCAGGTATGAGCCCTGAGCCCATCACAAAATTCCATTTTTCAAAATTATGCAAATAAGATTGTGGATTTTGTGATTTAAAAACTATGGATTTTGCATCAAAACTTGAAATTTGTGAAAATTTGTGAAAAGAGCATTCAAGAAAGTCATGAAATATTTTGTTTTTGCCATTTAAAGGACAACTGAAATAGGTTTTCTCAACTTCCAGCAACAAAAATGCCGGTTTCTTCATTGTAAGCCCGGCGTAGAGTTCTTGCGATAACCATTAGAAAAGAAATGTTAGATAAGTGTAAACGGTTATAGATAACCTAATAAAATTAACTGATCAATCAGAATGGCCCCCATGTGATTATAGTAATGTCATACATAATATAAAGTTTTTGTTTGTTGGTTCCTTGGTAATCATGACGTCATGGTAACCATAGGATTGTTGTGTAAACAAATAAAAAACATTTTGGCATTATAGTGTCATGGTTTGGACAAAAACTGGCCACGTGGGGACCAGTTAGAGATCACGTGGGGGCCAATAACGTCACAACTAATTCAAATATTATTAAGCAGCTATAACCATCGTAAGAGTGAAATAATTTTAACTATTCTGATGAGAAAACATGTCCAAATACATTTATCAAAAAATTATATTGATTCCTTGAGGTCGAAAATACGATTTCATATCTGCTTTAAAGAGTCAAATTTATAACTAGACTCTGCGTGGGTAATATTCTGCTTGCTTTGGAATATGGAAAATGACATGACCTGGACACTTATCTAGAATATCTAGGGTTCTCATAAGGTGTTAATAAACTAGCATCATTTAAGTAACATAACGGCTGGATGATTATAGCTTTAATCACCCCAGCTTCTACTTTAGTTTGATTTATGAAAACATAGCATCAAAGAATTGTAAAATGGTAATTGTGGGATCCATATTCTGTACTATCCCATGGAATATAAGCATTAGATAAAGAGGGGCTCTGATAAATAAGAATGGTATTTCCCTATTCAAAACATTTCTGTCTGATATAAGTGTCTCTAAGGGTGAATCTGGAAATGAATAAAGACATTTTGGCCCCTTTCGGAAAATCTTAATCCAAAAAATTCCAAAAGGCTTATTTTTCATCAAAAATGAGGTCTGTTTAAAAGTTAGGCAGATATTGCTTCTTTACCAGAAAAACTTGTAGATTCTGACCCTCTAATCAATCAGGGTATAATATAGGGCCATATGCCAATGCTCTGTTTTACCACCTGTCTATAAACTACCACTTTTGATTTGACTGTTCTGCAAAGGATTTTTACTCAAATGGGGTTGCAAAATTCTTATTTTCACAATTTAGATCGAAATTGGTCAAAATATGCCTATTTATCAAGATTTTTCTCATTTTCAAGTAGGTGTATATAGATTTTCAGGTAGGTGCAAGACTGTTTTTAAAATCTCAGGTGGGTGCTGCGCCTACTGTACCTTCAAACCTGATCTGTAGCAATTTTCATTTCTACTTTTACTCACAATACATCCATGTTTAGACACATAACTTATTATCAGGCAGAATTACTCGCTGATGATGACAATATCTCATACTAGAATAACATTAAAGAGGTAAGACAAAACAATAAAAAAATATTTTTAGGCTCATATTTAGATCTAAACTGTAAAATTGTCTATACTTGTTAAGTACTTCAAGGTCTCTGGGCCTACTATTATTTTAATGATTGATGCAGTGGGACCCAGGACTCTAAAAGTGACAGTTTACTGATATAAATTCAAAGTAAATGATATAAAGACCACCAAGTATAGACCACCATTAAATAGATATGAGCAGTTTTCATTTGATGGAAAATTGTTGACAGATAATGGAAGGACAGACAGACAGGCAGTTGAGTGGGAAATTCCATAGGTTGCTGATGTTAACCAAATATGGTAGAACTAAGCTGTATAACGTCCTTCAGTAGAAAAAAATGATAAACCAAAACGGACAATCAATTCATAGCCTTATCAGACTATAAGGGAAGTCTTGCAGGATTTTTTCATTGTTTTGTAACTTATTATTGTCTTCATCTGTTTTGAGACTTAACAAGCTTTTAACACCAGTGCTAAACAATTCCTTTAACTGTTTTCCTACTATTGATAGACTGTACACCCAAATCTCTGTTTTCATTTTTGTTCCAATGCACCATTGCCTTTATCTACTTTCATATTTGTTACAATGCACAAAGTCCTTAACTATTTTTCTTATTTGTTAAAATTCATTAGTGGCTTTCACCTTTTTCCTATACTTGCTACACAAAAGTCCCTTTAACACTTTTCTTATTTGTTATATACACCACTGCCTTTAATTGTTTTTATAATTATGACACTGCACCAGTGCCTTTAAATCTTTTCCTACTTGTTATATCCACCGTCTTTTTAACTTTTCTTATTTTTGTAATATTTCAGTGCCTTTAAATGTTCTCTTATTCGTTAATAATACATCATTCAATGACTTTAACTGTTTTTTTTATTTTTTGCATACTGCCTTGGATTGCTTTTTTAAATTACATCATTGGGTTTTAACTGTTTTCTTCCTACTTATATTTACTCAAGTTCCTGTAACTGTTTTTATTTGCTATATCTACACTTCAAAATTGTTCATTTATTTGGTACAATACGTAAGTGCCGATAAGGTATTTCTGTATGTTCAGAAATTCTAATGGCTTTATAATTTGACTTGAAAATAACATAGAAGGTCATTAAAATGTCTGAATTGGTGGATATATCAGAATTGTTTTACTATATTTTACCATAGGCCAGTGGCTTTAACTGCAAACAAAATAAGACGCAAGAAACAAAGTCAGTCCGACCTTACTAAAGTGTTCAGTGAACCTTACGTACTGAAATAAACAAATAAAACAACCTTGTTTAAGATGTTGATGACATCAAACTAGAAAGAAACAAAAACATTGCAGTAAATATGAACATTAATGAACAATAAACAATGATAAAATGAATAATAGCCTACTTACAAGATAGCTGTAGATCTGTCCCAGGATATTTTACAGAATAATTTCTACATCTTTGAATTCTTCTTACAGACATCATGGCTAGCTGATTTCAAACATGAAATATGATATGACTTTATCCACCTCAGCAATATGACGGCAATTCTGTGACGTTCTTCCTGAAAAACATGAGATTTCAAGGCTTTCACTTGTCATTGGCTCATAATAAAACATGCTGTGTTAATTAGCACCAGTATCTACCATACTATTGCCCTACGTCAATTCTAAGTCGACAATAATGTATTAACCCATCTAAGTATGAAGTCTTCTATATACATCATGTACTGGTATGCAAAGTGCTTTTTTACCTGTACAAATAATACTTCTGTTTTACTTGAGAATGTAATACTGTATATATCAGGTTCTTCAATCAGGTGCAAAACAATTTCCATATTTCAGCTCGGTGCAAATGGATTTATTATTAGGGTGAAAGGCAAGATATTAAGTTGGTGCAACTGTATGGTCAATTAGATGTTTTATTGTAATAGGTGAGCCCAATTGTTGATTTTCTCGTATTGTAAATTGTTTATGTTCTCCCCACTTGAGTAGGTGCAAATATTCTCAACTTCTTATTTTCACACCTTTAGCAAGACATATAATCATAAACATTTCAATATGAAGAGCAAAACATATGCAACGCAACGGAATTGATGCTGAATGCTTAAAACCTTATCAGATCTTAGCACTAAATTTCAAGTTGAACAGAATTTTGATGACAAAATTCATGTGTGGCCACCCAGCTGCATAAGACAATGATAATTTACATGATCTTATCTGTTTTAAGAAGGTCAGAATGGATGCAATGGGTGCAAGCCTATTTTCAAAACCTCAAATGGGTGCAGCACCCACCTGCCTAGTCCCTGGGAGACCACTGCTAATTGCTTCCTGAACAAAATTGGATAAACATCATTCAAGTAATCCAGATAGAGATAAGACAATATCCTTAAAACATTATTAAACTGAACATTTACATATCTTTATTCAATTATATTTGAGCAAGTATTAATCATAATTCCCTAGGGCATCCCCAGGGGCCAAATACAGCTAGATAGATTGATAGTTTTGTACTTTTAATAATGAAGCCTCAGTGACGCAACCAGATCATAAACAAGATTGTCGAGTTCGTCTTACAAAGATTTTTCTTGAATCACGTTTTATTTGCTTTATTAGAAACACTTGCAAAATGTAACATCTGCCATTTGATACAGACACCGAAGACCAACCACCATCCACAAAAATGTTATTACAATATGTCACCACCATTGACAACATCTCATTTCTTCTCAGCCATGAGATGCCATGATATCAGAAACTATATTATCATGCCACACATGTAACACATATCTACACTGATTCAGTGCCTAAATGAACTGGACATAGTTTAATCTAATGACTCAAAATAGTCGAAGGTGACTTAACATAGTCAAAGGTGACTCAATATAGTCTATGAGTACTCAACATAGTCTAATGAGATGTGACATAGTCTAGGGTGACCCAATATTGTCTTAGACAACTCAATATAGTCCAAGGTAACCCAATATTGTCTAAAGTGACTCAAACTATTTTCAGGTGACTCAACATAGTCTGTAGTCATAGTAATAGACAAAGTTTACATAATTTTGTTTGGTGTGGTATTTTTTACAGTTCTCAATATCCACGTCATCATATCATTGCAAAATTCTTCATAGTTAATTGAATTTGTTTTTTTCTGTTTTGATATGTGTGAAAGGTATGACGCTAAATAACCTATCTATGACATGTAGAATAATATAACTCTAATTTATTTAATTACATGCTAGTCACTCTGGTTTTCTACCTTTCTGGTTCCAAGCTCATGTTTAACTGCACATAAAATTAAATTTGATGCATCACCTAATGGATAGGTTACTATGCTTGATACTTAATCGAGGAGTACTAATTAACAATCAACTTTTATCTCACGATTGTCCTGAAAGAAATCAACCTCAGATAACCTAATGTTTACAAAAATACCAGGAAATGAAATTTGCTTTGAATCAGTGTTCTGATATGATTCTCCAAATGCAGTAGTTTGGTTCAGTGAAGGCTGGGGGAATGAGAGAGAGTCCAATGTATGAAAGCTACTTTGGAGTTTAGACTCTGATGTAACCTTTAGATTGGTCTTTTGGTCTGAAACTAGATGGAGATTTTGAAAACTGGTATGCACATTTTTGACCACATAATTGTACAAGCATGAGATGTCTTAGAATGATGAAAATTGCCTTCTAAGCCAACTTTAATCAAAATTGTGAATTTTTAAAATCTTAAACCTACAAAATATCCCCCTCCCCAATGAACACCATATTGCCAATGAATAATCTAAGAAATCGATTAATGTGTCTGACCTTGTAATATGGCAATGACTCTTGCGAGGCCATTCATGTATGTAACATTTATTGCAATGTAAGAAATAATTGTTTCAGACCATTCCTACGATGTTGTACTACATAGTAGTTATTGTTGCATAACAACACAATTATGTTTTGAAGGATACACATGTTACTAATGCCAACCAACAAACAGAATGCACCAAATAGGTAGTTGCCACAATTCACTTATTTGTTTTTTTAAGAAAAAATATGTATATAAAAAACCTACATGTTATATACAGTGATACCATGGAGCATAATATCAACATATTACAAGAGCAAAAAATCAATTTGACTAAGATGAGTCTCCTAAGTCTTATAAAAAGAAACAAGAGTCACTATCTACATTAATTAAATTATGTACCATAAAAGTAGAGAAATCATTACACATAAGTAACATATAAAAGACATCATCATTATATAAACTTTTAATGCAACAGGTAGAATTATAGTCAAATGTCACATTTTTCAAAGGCGCATTTAACTTCCAATCAACGAAGGTGACAAAACATTATAACTGAAGAAATCAAGTGAAAAAAGTTGTCTGAAGATAAACATAAATTTCACTTATCAAAATAAAACAAGAAAAAACATGTATACGGGGGTTGTCCAAAAAGTCTTGAAATTTTTGCGCTGATATCATAAATTTTCATTCTTTTGGCATCATCATGTAAGATAGTGTTGTCGTGATGTGCCATAATCGTACATCGATAATTTTCAGTAGTAAACATCGATGCACATCGCGATGTACATCGCGAAAAAGTCCGAGAAAAGTGCACTGAAATACCGAACGATAATGCACTAAAATACCTAACATCCGGTACATCCGGGAACTTCTAGTAAGGGTGAAATGAAAGTAAAGTAATTTTTTTTAGATTAATGGTTCATTTCGACTAGCTAAAACAGTTTTAAAGCGAAAGAATACCAGAAAACATTGGAAAATGAAATAAGACATGAGAAAGGTAAGCGATTTGCCTCAAAATAAGATAAGAAAGGGTGATTTTTAGCAAATTAATTTTTTTTTAAAACATCGATGTTTTGTTTCAGACATCGATGCATCGCCAGAATCAGATTTGGCGATGTATATCGCGATGTATCGATTAATTGCGACAACACTAATGTAAGATCGTTGAACATTTGTTGTTCACTTTGTAAAGTTTGAAGGAATTACACTGCATGGTTTCATTTTTATGAATATTGCAAGGGTATGACTTTAAGTAGGCTAAAATCAAAACAAAATCATCATAATTGAACTTACTCCTATGCATGTAATACGTTACTGATTTTAATGTTACTTGAAATCAACATGATTATTTTATTAAGGACTTAATCCTTCGTAAAAATTATTGCACAAATCAAAGTCCCATTAACGTTATAATTTCTCAAAATATTCTCTGTGGCCGGTGGGGGAAACATTTCTGGAGTCTCAATGTTAACTTTTGTGCAACATTATATTGTGTTACTGCCAGCGATGATTTTGAATCTGTTGCCAAAATCTTCAAGATTCAATTCTTCAAGTATGTCAGAAATACTACATCCTCCTAAGCAGGTGTCCAGAATCCGTACCTCCTTCTTCCCCCTGCTATAACCAATTTGGAAGCGCTCGATTTAACTGAATCACGTGATCCAATAATGCACAATGACTTATACATGATTTCTGTCGCAGTGTTGCGACAGTCAATCAGATTGTGAGTTCTTAATCGGGGAAATGCTAACTGCTTATCGCAGGGGGTAAAAAGAAAGAATATATTCTGGATTTTGAAGCCCTGTGATCGGAGGATGGAAATACTACAGTAAAATTCCATTTTGCCATTCAGGGATATTTCTATGAGCTTTAATGTTGCATTGAATCCAATGAAATCAATGTTTTTCTTGTATTTAATGAGCCATGTATGAAAAGGTGATATGATAAATAAGACTTGCCCCGTCCCTCCTATCTCTTGGTTGCTATAGCAACCATATCACAAAAGATATCTTACTCATTTAATGATTATTATATTGTTTTTGTCCTTAAAGGATGATTGAAAAATTTGATGAAATGAGAGCAAAATTTTTTGAACAAGCCGCATATAATATAATAGATCATATTGGATATGACATGTGCATTTTTTATAACATTGCAATAAATATTACATTGTGTGAGAGGCCTTTGAATAGATGTTGCCATAACACAAGGTCAGACACATCAATCATCATTTCATGGTTGAGACAACACAACAGTAAACAATTGAAAAACTAATTGGAAAAAATAATGTATGAGGTGTACATGAACTCATAACTGAAGGTTCACAAAAATGTTTTATAATCAAAAATGGACATTATAAAAGGTGATCATTGTTTTTACCTTTAAAATCCCCATCTAAAGTTTAAACCACTTTGGCTTATATTGTAGTCTTACCCAATGTTATCAAAGTGTGATATGTGAAACTTTTTTTTTAAATTCCAAAAAGTGGTTTTTGATAGACTTTTTGTTCCAAAATTTGTGAATTTAATTAAAACTAACTTTTAGAGGTCACACATATATTTTAATTAGCCACAATTCATACCAATGCATAGCATTCATCCTCCCATGTTTTTGCCGAAAAAATTAAGAAAATCAGTTCATAAATAAGCGAGAAATGAACTCATCAGTGCATGAAAATGGTTCCAAGAAAAATGCATTTCAAAATTTTAGTTCTCATAGAAACCAATGGTACAATGATATCTAAAACATAATATATTCTTCCTTTTAACCTGGTTAGACAATTAGAATTGGTTTATTATTGAAGTCTAGCATATTTAGAAAAGATTGACATCTAAAAAAAAAAATTCAATTTTTTTCCAAAAGTTTCTGTTACCTTAGTGACATCACTAATGTTGCAAAATATTTTTGATATGCAAAAAAATATGGAAGTGGCCCATTAAATATGGCATTTTATTATTGAAATAAAGTGTCCTTTATTCAATCTTTGCATTGGTGTTAAAAAGATAATCTTTTTTGAAATGCATTAAGAAATATTCGATGATTAAAAAATTTCAACTTTTTTTGAAAAATGGCGGGAAATTTGAATAATTGAGAAATGAAATGCTCATAACTTTTTTTTCAAAAATTTTTTTTTCCAAAAATCTCTAAAATAACTTTTTCAGTCATGACAAATAGTAAATGAATGATAAAAAAATATTTTCAAACTTTAGACGGGGACTTTAAGTGGATGACATAAGCTCTGATCATATTAATGGACACCAAAATTGAGATAAGTTGATCGTTTAAGTTTCAAAAAAATTTCACAATTTTGCTCTCATCATTCCATGTCATCTCAGGCCCGCAGCTTTTGAAAAGTTCCAGGGTGGGTTAAAATTTGACATTTTTGGCTCAAAATCACTTCAAAAGTGCAAAAAACGGTGAAAACTGCACAATTTGAATTTGGCCCAAAATTATGAAAAATTGCATGATTTTGAGAGAAATCGGACCGGAACTCCCCCTGGCTATGAGCCTGCATGTCTACTATATTCTCTCCAGATTCCAACAATTCTAACTTTATTTCATAATTCTTGCATGTTATAAAAAATGTTCTTACCTTTTTATTAAGTCTCTGTGTTGAATTGTACCAAGCAATTATTGCACTGGCCAGTCACTAAATGCTGTCCGAGATTCTACTTTATATGTCTGTTGTTTTGTAAATGTTTATTTTATGCCTCTCATTTAACGCAGTTTCAAAACATCCTGTCTTTCCAATCCCATGGTTCAACAACTAAGTGGAAAACATAGTAGGCTTAAGGCTGACCCAACTTCTGCAATGTAAAATCAATAATAGTGTGTAAGAGTGATTAGAGCGCAGAGATAACATTGCCTGTAAATTACGTGTCAGTTAGTCATGAAGATACAAAAAATAAAACTGATAATTCTAGTCCCACACAAACACATTTTAAATAGGAGAAAATAAAATAAAATAATCATCTTACACTTGGATGTATTTTCTCAGGAAAACAGGACAATTCACAAGTATACAATAGTAATACAAAAGTATGGAAAAAAGTTTCTTGCAAAGATTCTTATAAATAAAGATTTTCTCGTACCCTGAGGCCAAAATGGTAAATAAAGCTCTCTTTTAAATATAGGAAATCAAACTCTTGAAAAGGGTTCTTGTCTGGTTTCTAAAACATTGACATTGTGTTGCTCAGATGACTCAGGGGTCCATTTTGGAACCCACATAAAATATATTTGTGAGATGCAATACACAAGTACCAAAAAACTGACTCCTGTGTCCTGCATACGAGGGCAATATAGAAAGTGCTAACACTCAGGTTGAACGCATGATACCAAAGACAATAGGCATACAGTTTACAATATTGCCCTTTGACAATTACAAACAAATGATACCAAAAACTGACGCCTGTGTCCTGCATATGAGGGCAATATAGAAAGTGCTAACACTCAGGTTGAAGGCATGATACCAAAGACAATAGGCATACAGTTTACAATATTGCCCTTTGACAATTACAAACAAATGATACCAAAAACTGACGCCTGTGTCCTGCATATGATGAGGGCAATATAGAAAGTGCTAACACTCAAGTTGAACGCATGATACCAAAGACAATAGGCATACAGTTTACAATATTGCCCTTTGACAATTACAAACAAATGATACCAAAAACTGACGCCTGTGTCCTGCATATGAGGGCAATATAGAAAGTGCTAACACTCAGGTTGAAAGCATGATACCAAAGACAATAGGCATACAGTTTACAATATTGCCCTTTGACAATTACAAACAAATGATACCAAAAAACTGACGCCTGTGTCCTGCATATGAGGGCCCTACAGAAAGTGCTAACACTCAGGTTGAAGGAATGATACCAAAGACAATAGGCATGCAATTTTCTATAACAAATAACAATGACAATAACAAATAAAAATGAGGTACAAAATGACAATGACAAGATCACTAATTATCTAAAAATTGTTACAATCATTAGTCATACAGCATAATTGTTATTCATTTGTCATGAAATGCTATTTTTTGATGGTGAAGTCATGATTCTTAATAACAGTTCATGTATAATTTCTCCAAGGTGGGCCAAAAAATGCTACGTTTTTAAAATAATGCTGTACCTTTTTTATTAACCACCCTATAAATACCAAATTTGGCAGTTAGTTTATTTTGTTCAGTGTGTATAACAAGACATATTGAAAAAAATTATAAAGCTGGAATTTATATTGAATTTTCAATAAAACTAAGGATTTTGGTTGAATAATTGTTAGACAATATATATTCATATTAATATTTGTTCACTTAGCTATAGAGGGTTTCGATGTCATTTCTATCCTGTTATATAAAGTATCTCCTACTTTATACAGCATTTTTTCATTTACACAGGATGCATAATTCTTCTGAATAGGTCACAATGCCTGCTGCGAAACTGTCTCATTAGTTCATTTTGTTATCCATATATTAATATTTCGCTTGTAAATGATCACAGATAATTGTACCTGCATATTATACAATTCGATTGCTTATCAGCCAGACAGTTGGCAAAACAATGTCAAATATTAACCAATTACATGTGACTATAATAACCAAAAGCCGACACTCTCACCTTTCTAATGATGTATTGAAACTTTAAGAGAAATAGCGTCATTTATTTTTCATTACGACCACACTTCGAGGCTCTGTTTTGCACAGCTAATATAGATCTATAGATGACTGTCAAGGAGATCCATATATGTAAGGCATAGATTATAAGAGTTTAACAGCTTTATTACGAAGCGTTTCAACAAAAAAACATTGTAATTAAGGATTTTAGAAGTGTTACACAAAATCTTTCATTAGATAACTACATGTACCATTTTTGGCTAATATTTTCCATGCTATTTCTCATTGGCCTAATCTCACGGTGTTATAGCATGACGGTTACAACACCTCTGTTCTGGATTTGTCATTTTATGGCTTGTTTATACACAGTTTACTTACTGTTAATAGTTTGAGTGGCTCTGAGGCACATATACTGAGAAATCACGAGAATGGACTTAAAAATATGAACTTGGACATCTCAGTTGGTAAGTTTACAGCTAATATTCCGCTTCTAGTAAACCACCTGGCAGATTTGACCCAGTCTTTATAACCATCCATATATATGTCACCGAATGGAACTAGTTGAAAAGGAAATCGTATCTGTGAATCTTGCCTACAGGCGAGAAAGAGGACATGATGTCTTTCCCATCCGCCATTTTTTGTTATCGTTACCGCAAAATTTTGCAAATCGCCTTGACGTAACCGTTATGCTATAACACCGTGAATCTGATTCAGCAAATGACACTAAGCCATGCGGAGAATTTTCTATAGTACAGCAAGGAATTAGTAATGTTTATATTGCCCTTGTGCTAATATGGTGAAATAAAATTGAACAGATGATTATGACTTCCAAGAAATACAATAATAAGCTTAGCTAAGAATCTGTCTTATAAGTGTTAGCCCCACACATTCAGGCTTCATAATAAATCAAAATAGCTTGGTTTTAGCTTACATAAAACACATATTTATGTTTTCCTCTATACTGGTTCGTGTGTATTTTCTAATGTTTTTACTCTACAATTTTACATAATACAATTTTACCTTACAAGAATACTTGTTTCCTCTTTTAATGTGCAATAGCTGCAAATTGCTTGATATGAACTGTTTTTAAGAACTTCTAATTGCTTGCAACTTTTAGAGATTCAGTATCCTGATAATAAGAAATGAAGGCCTTCTGTCAGTTGCTTCCTACGTGTATCAGAATGGAGATTCATGGACTGCATATGTACTCATGCATATGGAATGATCGAGGAAGCCACATTCAAATTCTAATCACGTTTTTCTGTCTTGCAGTTTCAGTAAAATGTGTTTAGTGAAAAACCTTTGGTACCTCTGACAAATGTTCTTTTTGGGAGGTGTTCTACTATTATGAGAGATCCATAATATAAATTCAGTTGGTCACAGGACTCTGAAATGTTCTACTTAAGGAGGTGTTCCACTTAAGGAGGTGTTCCACTTACAGAGGTGTTTCACTTTAAAGGTTTTACCGTAGTAGTTTCAAGCAAGGAAGCTAAGATATGGCCACAGTCTATGAACACTTACTTATAGTCATTAGTCAATACATTTTTGTAGCTCCATAAGTGTACACTGCAGGCCCGTAGCCAGAGGGGGAGCTGGGGGAGCGCAAGCTCCCCCCCCTGGCCAGAAATTCTTTCAAAATCATGCAGTTTTTCACCATTCTGAGAATTTTTTGCATGATTTTTAGCCAAAATTGTGAAAAAGCTCCCCCCCCTGGAACTTATTTTTTTACAGCAGAGGGGCTTGGAACTTACAAAATCTTAAAAAATATATAACATTTTGACAAATGGCTTATTCTTACAAAAAATTGCTTATTTATACAAAAAACTCAAGGAGAACTAAATACGATTTTTTTGGATAGATGAGATGCTTACTGAATAAAAGTTTTGAACTTAACCATGCATTTCTCAACTAGAAACGAATGGAGGTGTTTCTGATAACACTGCTATCTTAAATCTTAAAATGAATGAAGGCTTTTACAGGAAATCCTAATAAAATGGAGAGTTGGAAAATATTTGTGGTTTACAATTCCTGTGTACAATTGTAGTTTTCGCTTAGGCTGAGAAAAACAGTGGATGTTATAGGAAGGTATTTCAAAACTTCAATATCCATTTTCAGAATATCACACGCTCTTTCCTTCTCTTTAAAGGGGTCTCTAAAGCATAGCAATGTTTTTCCCTTAGGTTGATAACAAGATTGCTAGTATAGTAGCATAGTCTGGCATTTAATCTTTTAGTATTATCTGGTTCTTTCATTTGTTCATTTGTGATAGAAACCAAAATGACCTAATAAAGTGTGTATTAAAGATTTACTTTCCTGTTATCTCAAAATCTGCTTGGAACTGTACCATTACTACATTAGATTTCTATGGGAAATCGCTCAGAGAAAATTCTAGGGATTAAGGAATGTGTACCATTTACACAATTTGAGAAATTATTGGCATACATGAAACCTATTTAAAACATCATTTATTTTATTCAAAAGCGAATATGATCAATGATTCCTAGTCCTCTGAAGTTTGAAAAATGAAAACATCTGGGTGTTAATCCATAGATAATCCTTGAAAATGAGAAATATTTTTTGGGGATATAATATGGTGCAATCTTATAGTCAATAAAATGAAAAAAAATATAAGCGAAATGCATGAACCCCCCCCCCCCCTTCAGATTCATTCTACAAACAACTCTCCCTCCTTTCATCCGACTAATATCACTAAATTAAGCATCACCTGTGTTGTTGCCAAAATCTGGCAAAAATGACAAAAATTCTGGTTTCAAATCGGTTTTAGAGGCTGAGAGGTTAAACTTAGGAAGGTAGATGAAGCTATCTTTTAAGACAATATCAATTATAGTCAAATGAATGCACAAACTAACAGTTATCAATCACAAAATGGTGAGACAATAATATTACATTTAAAAAGATCAGCATTTAACTGGTTAGAACCCGATTTCAATCTACAATGCAATATGCTCGAGGAATCTCGGACCATAATTGAAATTTAAATGTGAGTGGTTGAAAACTAGTCGATCAGTTAAAATATATCAAGTCGCGATTATGGACACTAGAGTTGACATGATTATCCAGGAAACTAGTTGATTGGTTAAAATATATCAAGTCGTGATTATGGACACTGGAGTCGACATGATCATCCAGGAAACTGGTCGATTGGTTAAAATATATCAAGTCGCGATTATGGACACTGGAGTCGACATGATTATCCAGGAAACCAGTCGATTGGTTAAAATATATCAAGTCGTGATTATGGACACTGGAGTCGACATGATTATCCAGGACCCTCAATGCGTCAATAATGTGACCCTTCGACTAATTACTGCACTACTCATAAGTAGGGGGCTCCCCAAGGGGTATGTGATAAGGCGACCTGGCCTTTAAAAATGGGACTAAATGGGACTTTGGGATACTTAAAAACGAACAAATGTGACAAATCAATCCTTGCAAGTGACAATGTTGCACATTTATTGGACTGACAAGTGTTTTGAGAGTGACAAAAATAGATAATTCGTTCTGAATGTAAATTAATGCTAGTTAAGATGGCTTTTTCTAACGAGCAATCAAACAATGGAACATACCAGACTATTTAGTGCATTAAATACTTTGGCTGACTAAAAAGGAACGAATCTGACAAAATATGACAAGTAAATTTTAAATGTGACAAAGTGAGAATTTTGAAATCTTAAAAGTGACAAAAGCGACCCCACTGCCCCCTCTTGGGGAGCCCTAAGTAGCAGATCTACTCCAATACTTAGTTGCTGATGGAACAAAGGAGTATTTAGACACATCTTTCTTCGCCTTGGGAATTCTAATAAGATCTATACTAGTGCTATGGGTATATACATTTCTTTTATGGTGATAACGAGGAGTTAGACATTTCTAATAATCTACTTACCAAATGTCAGGTTCTAAGATATGTCAAAATACAGTGTAACTTTTTTGACAGTAAGGTAATGTTTTAGTTGAATTTTACAGGTTGAATACCTATAAAATAGCTACTTGGTTATTAAACAAGGCACATGATATAAACTATTAGTAAATAACACCATTATGTAGTCACCTAAAAGTCAATATCTTAGATTTGTAGTTAATTTAAACTGCTCTATTTTTCTGATTGAAACTGATGATTATATAGAATAAGAAACCTGATTAGATAACTATCAAAATGTCACCACCTGCCATTTATTACAGATGCAGACCTCCAACTACCAAACACCAACTGCCAAATCCCAAACACCAACTGCTGAACACTGTCAACAGAAAAGTATCTATCCATTAAATTACATGAAATTACAAGATTTACAAGTTTTATAATTTTACAAAATTTATATGATTTACAGTCCGACGAATGATATTGTGTATCAGAATGCTGGTACCAGGTCACACTCCTAGCCCATCCAGACTAAGTAGCGTAACATTACATCTACTAACCATTACTTGACATTGTTGATGGTGAGAACACCACAAAAAAAAAGTTTCACATATCCAGGCAATCAAACTGTTTGCGTATTTGTCACGCAAAAAAAAAAAAAACGCAATTGTTCAGACTTTTCACATGGATACCGTATATGTCACGCATTTCCCTTGAAATATTTGGTACCTAACCTACCCCCACCCCCTTCGACAGAACGCAAGCATAGTGAGAGCACAAATTTTGAGGTGTCCAAAATTTGGTTATATGCAATAAAATTTGAACCAAGGTGCTCAAAATGTGGGCCAAGGTGTTCAGATTTGGACCGAGGTGTCCAAAATTTGAAGAAAGGTGTTCAACATTTATAAGTCACTCATGTTAGGTGTTCTAAAGTTGACAGGCCTGCATATCACATTCTGATTATATTGGGTAAGATTATGTCTAAGCCAAAGTGGTTTAAACTTCAAATGAGGCCTTCAAAATCTTCTCTTTTTCAGAGACAGACAGTGAAATCTGAAATCAAATGAACAGTCCCTAAAATGACATGATATAATTACAAGGTTTACAAGTTTTACAATTTTACAAGATTTACACGATTTAAAGTCTACTGAGAGGAATGGTGATTTCATCAGAAGTGAAGATTGTTTTGTTATTATTTTCATAATGAAATTGATTACACACTTTTTTGCAACTTAACTCAAAAACATACTAATTCTTCTTGAGGTAATTTGTTTTCATTGATTTTTGCAATTTTTTGCAATGGCTGGCCTATATTTTTGTAAAAGACAAATTAATCTCACCCAATAACATGCATGACATGATGAACTTGTTTTACAATTTTACAAGATTTACACGATTTAAAGTCTACTGAGAGGAATGGTGATTTCATCAGAAGTGAAGATTGTTTTGTTATTATTTTCATAATGAAATTGATTACACACTTTTTTGCAACTTAACTCAAAAACATACTAATTCTTCTTGAGGTAATTTGTTTTCATTGATTTTTGCAATTTTTTGCAATGGCTGGCCTATATTTTTGTAAAAGACAAATTAATCTCACCCAATAACATGCATGACATGATGAACTTTAATAGAAAAGCTCTGGATTGTACATCCTCATTGATTAAATATATCAGTATTCCGTTATCCGTCTGAATTGCATAACAAACTCATATGGCATAAATGGCATATTAACCTTCAAGAACAATCCTTTAGGGTGGATTTAGGGTGGATACTTCCTTTTAAAGCGTTAACTCTGTACAGTTTATAATATATGTGCAATATTCTTATTTTAACTTTAGCTCCAAATCTGTAGTTTGTTGAGCCTTGTTTTGAATAACATAAATTATTGAATCCACAATATTTGATAAATTACTGATAAAATTCAAAGTTCTCGAAATTATTTCCACATCATTTCAAGTGGTAAGTCAAGAATAACATTAAAAAAGTGGTATTGTCGCAGAAGAGAAGAGAAAATGTGAGGAAACTGCAGATTGTCTATAGCTAGGATTTTTATCTGCAAAATGCATTTACATGTATGGGGGTAGAAAAAGTAGACTAACAGTAAAACTTTAAATGTTTGGAAGTTGGAACTACTAGCAAATTAAATGACTTTATCGTATGATCTGAAGCCTTCTGATTGGTCAGTTCTTGTGCTGTTCCAATCTGTATTGCTTCTGAGATTGTCCCCATTGATCATCTCCGTCGCAATACAGAAATATTGGTGCGGATGAGACTTTCTCAGTAGCAATACACAGGATCACACGATAAAAACGTTAATAGAATGATTTGAAGTGCAATACAGGATGTATTCTGCTCTCGATATTCGTCTTCGGCTCTCGATATTCGACTTCGTCTTGTTCCAATATGGAATTTCTCAAGCAGAATCTATCCTGTTTTGCACTTCAAATCATTCAATAACTTATATTTGAACATGACTGTATTCACGCCTTCTATAAACTGTAAACAAAGTCAACATTTCACCTGGGATATATTCGCGATCAATACCCCAGTTAATACGTGTAATGTGTGACGTCATAACGGTGGGTCGTAGTAATGGCGGACAATGATGAATATTCGAAACAATTTGGTGAGTTTTCATGTTTGAATCTTTAAGACCTCAGAGCAGGGGTAATATCGTCAAATACATCCCTTGGGGCTAGGCACAAAAGCTTTCGAACCCCTCACTCCCTTCAGTCGTTCGGGGTACAGAAAACGTTTATGCCTAGCCCTGCGGGTGTATTCGACGATATGACCCCTGCTTTTCTGTCAGTGTCAGTCTGGGTCGAAGAGATTTTAGTTTTAACATCGGAAATATGTCAGCAATTTTCAAAATGTTAGAATTCCCCAGGGATTTCCCTTTAAATGACTGGTGCATGCCGGGAACTGAATGGAGGAATTTGACGGTTGAAATAAGTTAAATATAACACGCAAATATTGCTATCAAAAACGAAAATATCTTCGTTCTGCCGATAAACCCATACAATTGGCGATCTAACAACATAAAAAGAATTCTAAAATATTCTGGAATGTATCGAGGTAGGTCATTTAATAGTGCAATGCGTAGTTCATTCTCCGACATTGTAGAAAGACAGGCTTACCAATGATACGGGCGTACCACCACAATCTAAAGGGTTGTAGGATGCGATAACATTGTAATGTTGAACCGTTCACATTTTTCCAAAGGCAGATTTGGATGCCTGCAAACCCGGGTTTTGAGGTCACAGCTTATGTCAACGAGTGCTTCTGTCAATAAGGATTGAATCTGGCTCGGTCTATTCTCATTCTCAATATTCTGTGAGGGGGAAAATCGAAAAAAAAAAAAAAAAATAGGGACACTTTTCTTTGGAAACAATTTACGGAACCAAATCTGTTTATTTCTTTCACATTCTTTTCAGATGTTTAGTTCTACATGAAAGGTATCAATAAACTTACCTTTTATATCCAATTATTGAACCAGTAGTCCTAAATTGCGTAAAATATTTCACATTTCATTGAATCAGATTCCGATGACCTTGCTTGATTGACCCCTGACCCGCCTCGTTTTGAATTTGAGTAGCAAGAATCATTTGTACTTTTGCAAAAAATTAAAGAGGCACGGACTGCTTAGCTCTTATTTGAAGTGTAATGAATCAATACTGCATTAATTTATTCACACATGGCTAGCAATATTTATTAAATTCCAGCCAATAACAAAGCAGTATTTGAAATAAGTTTCTTTCTATCCTTCAAGCAATTTTAGATTAGTCACTAATTTACTGTTACAGATATACACTCCCCTCCATAAGTTTGGCAACCTTAGTTCCTCCATTTAACTATGTGTTAAAGCCTCTTTACATTTGAATTTTTATTTACTTAACTTGCAATGAAAATATTTATAATATAGATGGAAATGTAACTTGAATTTATTTCCAATTCCAATACCTCCAATTCTCTTAAAGTCCCCGTCTAAAGTTTGAAAATATTTTTTTATCATTCATTTTCTATTTGTCAGGGCTTAAAAAGTGATTTAAGAGATTTTTGAACAAAAAAAATTTTTTGAAAAAAGTTGTGAGCATTTCATTTCTCAAATATTCAAATTTCCCGCCAAAGTTGAAATTTCTTAATCATAAAATATTTCTTAATATTTTTCAAAAAAGATTATCTTTTTAACACCAATGCAAAGATTGAACAAAAGACACACTATTTCAATAATAAAATGTCATATTTAATGGGCCACTTCAATGTTTTAGCTTATCAAAAATATTTTGAAACATTAGTGATGTCACTAAGGTAACAAAAACTTTTTGAAAAAAATTGAATTTTTTTTTTCGATGTCAATCTTTTCAAAATATGCTCGATTTTCATAAAAAAAACAATGTTGATTGTCTAACCAGGTTAAAAGGAAGAATAAATTATGTTTTAGATATCATTGTACCATTGGTTTCTATGAGAACTAAAATTTTGAAATACAATTTTCTCAGAACCATTTTCATGCACTGATAAGTTCATTTCTCGCTTGTTTATCAACCGATTTTCTTAATTTTTTCGGCAAAAAACATGGGAGGATGAATGCTATGCATTGGTATGAATTGTGGCTAATTAGAAGATATGAGTGACCTCTAAAAGTTGGTTTTAAATAAATTCACAAATTTTGGAACAAAAAGTCTATCAAAAACCACTTTTTGAAATTTAAAAAAAAAGTTTCACATATCACACTTTGATAACATTGGGTAAGACTACAATATAAGCCAAAGTGGTTTAAACTTTACATGGGGCCTTTAATTTTTTTCCTCAATTACAAATTGGTTTACAATAGGTCGAAAATTGATCATAAGAACTTTTGAAAATCGACATTACCATGTTAACCAATGGGAAATGGTAGGTTTGTCTTTAAAGTCAAAATTGTTTTTCAAAAAACCTCTCCCAATAACACAGGAGGCAAACAATTATTTTCAAAAATGACCTTGAAGCTCTGTAACTTTAGCATTCATCAAATAAACTAAACACCTACAGAAAGTTAGACAATTCAATTTTCTATATAACAATATTTTTTGCTAAATCTTTTACTGAATAGATATCCTGATTTCTAATTTGCCCCGAACCCACCATTTCCCATTGGTTTACATGGGAAATACGATTTTCAAAGATTAATCTTTATAAACAATTTTCGACCTATTGTAATTGAGATATAAAAGATTTGGAGGTATTGTGAATAAAGTCAAGTTACGTTTCCATCAATACTATTAGTTATTTCATTGCAGGTTAAGTAAATAAAAATTCAAACAATAAGAGGCTTAAACACGTAGTTCAATGGGCGAGCTAAGGTTGCCAAACTTATGGAGGAGAGTGTACAGTGTTCACCATAAATGAATGGCATCTTGATTTTCTATCAACATTTCCAGACCATGGTGATTTGAGACTTCGTACTTTCCAATAATGTCTAAATACAGGGTGTTCCAAAAGTAACAGGACTGGTGCTGGCATTTTGTCTATTTTGCACTGAGTGTCTTCAAATTTTCACAACTTGTACTTTGAAGTATTGCAACTAAAATTATAAAGTTTCAGAAAAAATGATGAAATGCGATTAGAGTCATGGTTACTATAGTAACATGACATCCCAATACCGGGGCAACTTTTTTCCTTAAAATGTGATATCTAACATATTTGTATTACCGAAGGAAGTATCTAATTCACCTATTATAATACAACATTTCCTGTTTATTTTATTAGTTGCTTTGTTGTAAAGGTGTTTCTATACAACTCAGGTTCAAGTATAATTTCATAATGATAATAATATTTATTCAATTTCCTGGAATATCACTATGTATAACAGTCCGAACAATTTACGGTTGAGTTTTAAAAGACCTGATTTGAAGCCAGTCATCTACCTTGATAGCACACCTGTCCGCAGATCACCATTAAAGACCATGGAGCTATAAAGGAGCTAGGTCTTGAGGTTTAAAACCATGCACCATACTTTTCTGAGCATGCAACATCTAATTTTTACTTTTATTGAGAACAGAATGCTAATCAGTGCTGTAAGACCTTTAAAGATGAGAATGACCTTCTCCAAATTGTCCAATCGACCCTACGTGACATGTCCTCAAATGGGTTGACTCATGTGTTTGGGTCATGGATACAGAGTACTATTTCTTGTACTGACCAAAGACGAGCCTATTTAGGAATACCAAATTATGTAAAACAAATGTTATTCCCACCAGTTGTTGCATTTCAACTTTGATATGGCATGTACAAAATGCTTAATGTCTCTATAATTTTTTGCGTGGAATGTTGCCCCGGGTATTGCGATGTCATGTTACTATAGCAACCATAACTCTACCCGAGTTTCATATATTTTGCCGAAATTTTGTAATCTTAGTAACGATACATGAAAGTACAATGTGTAAAATTTTGAAGACGATTGGTGCATATTTAACAAAATGCCAGCACCAGTCCTGTTACTTTTGGAACACCCTGTACATTACATTTTTTATACTCTCAACTACTAATCCGCTATGGACACTTCAACATTTCTGAGTGGGCCTGATGGACCTGATTTAATACACCCCATCTCCATGTCTTGTATCCTTACCTTTTAATTCATGTCCTCACCCACAGGCTCATTCAAAGTCTTGATACAAGACATTTGTTTTTAACATTATCTACAATTTATAGAGCCCTGGAATTAAATTCTAGATATTGTGATATTTAGCTATTATCAATTCTTTTTGTTTATATAGAAACTATTTTGACAACAAATAAACATTCACTGTGGCTTTGCTGAGAGCATTAGTAATGCACTTTATAATTAGCATCTAATTTCAAATGATGTCTTGGGTGCCAAGTGCCTAGATTATTTTTAATAATCACCTACAACCTGGGAGATCTAAAATGAAAGGTAAATGATTTAAGGATGAGAACCAATGAACTTTATGAGAAATTTGTGTAAACATTTTTCTGGGAATTCACAGTAAATCATACCCTGCGTGCAGAGTCTAGTTATAAAGTACCCTCTGCCTAGTATTGATATAACAGTTTAGTAGCTCCAGAGAGAGTTGTCAGTATTTCAACAACAAGCTTTGAATGGCTTGTGAGTTCAGAGATTTATTTTAAACTTAGAGTGAAGATGAAGCTCTCTTTTAAGAACAAAACAAATGAATGCAAAGGGTAAATGAAGCTCATTGACTTTTTTGAAACATGTTAAGGTACATGTATATCCGCATGTACATCACTCCCCCCAGTTTTCTGCAAGTTAAAATGCTAAATTCTGCAAGTGAAATTAGTGAATTCTGCAAGGGGAAAAGGCTAATTCTGCAGAAATTCCGCGGAAAATATCGTGATAGATATAATTAAAACGGGAAAATTTCATGATAGTTACATAGGCAGTCACTACGTCACTACTCAATACATGCTGCCATCTAGCGACAGAAATCAAATGACGAAGTTTAAAACTTTCACTTCGCATAATTTGGTAATTTTTGGGTTATTTCTACAAGGGATTTGACTGAAAACGTGTGAAATTGTTGGGGAAATTGTTACAGGTAAGACTGACTATTCAAACTTTTGGAAAATATATCGATTCCGCGGAAAATTCCGCGGAGATTGACCAAAATAGTTGATTCTGCAATTCCGCGGGCAAAGGCAAATTCCGTCCGCGCTCTGCAAACACGGAATCCTGGGGGCAGTGGTACATAAATTTTCAATAGCTTTGAAATTGGAGTCCCAGTTACGGTAACTCATTCCATCACCAGGGATTTCATCCACTTTAAGCTTTGTTTAAAGTGCATGAATATACCAAAGGTAGATCAATAGCCAGCAGCCCCCAGAGATCACTAGTCCCATGTATCAGACACAAATTTACATCTTTTGAGGCTATTCTCAGGTTACAAAACCATTTGAGAGCTGCTTATGCCATGGCTTACTCCAGTAACTTACCAGGCCATCTAAAGAGAGATGTTTGATAAACAGGTCTCCTTGTATATCAATAATTTAACTATGGTTCAGCAAGAGACATCAAATGACAGTATATATATTTCACGGGATCAATTTTTATTTGCAATTTTCATTTGCATGTTTCAAACAAGTCATATAATATTACAATAAACATTGCATCAATAAATGTACGCAGACATATACAAATGCAGTTGTTACAGTGTATTTAATTTGTTTTGTGTGACAGGACAGGACAAGAAACTTTATTTCCCTGGGACACTCCCCGTTTTCTCTTACCAATTAGTCATGCAAGACTACATACAGTAAAACCTATATAACGGGAATGCTCCCTGTAATGGCCATAACAGTTCCTTGGATGTGTGAGGTATTCCCTCTGACAGGTTTTACTGTACTAGGTGAATACAGGGTTTTCGACAAAACCCAATGTCTGAATGTCCTGACAACACTGCATACCTTGATCAGGGTGCTTCATAAGCATTTTAAACATGTTGGTCAAGTTTCAATGTAATTTTTCTGTACATGCTGAAAAAGTAAGTTGGTCCAGACCAAAGGAAACTGGTCAGGAATATCTCAATATACTTTTACATCTAGTTTTGCTAA